CTATCATTATCCCTTATGGACCAGGAAATACTACCGTGCCACCTTAAGGGGGATATACATGTTTACACTAAATCAATGAAGGATTTTTTTTTACCTATGCAATTTGTAAGTTTATCAATAAAAAGTTGATTAAGGACAACTATGATAAAAACAGCCCTTAAATTCCACCCCTGGGAGTGAAAATTGCTGATTCAGTAAATTTTGCCTGATCTGTGGGTAATAAAGTAAAAATTTACCTAGAAAGTAGAACTTCATTATTTTTATGTAACTTGCAATACATTTTTAATTATAAATGTTCGCTTTAACTTTTCGCAGTGTCTGACACATGTGCAACCAATGGAATTTGAGACGCGACATATTTTATTTGTCTGTACATCCTATTATTTTCACCGTAATAAATAAATTGCATAATTTCTTATTTTTTTCCACACAAGTACAGCTGTACTAGTTTTCTTTAGGTTTAATTTGTAGTTCTGTGGTAACATGACACCAGTATGAGCTTTTTTGGAACCAGCAAGTGGTTAAGGGGTCCTTACTTATTCATTTAGCCCTCATATTTGGCTGAAATAGAGATAGCAGTAGGGGTTTCTTTACACTGACAAGACATTTTTTTTGACAAAGAATGTAATTATGACTGTATATCAGCAAGATTAAATAGTTTATTCATTTTCCATGCAAATGTCATTAATTGTTTTGAATTTCTGACAATGAAAAGCACAATAAAGGTAAAATGATTATGTAAGGGGACATAATTTAACTTAATGCATATATGAGAAATAGACAAACAGTCAACTAAGGGATATATTCTAGTACATATATTGTCAAAAAGATTTTAGAATAATAGTTAACTGCCATCTAAAGAATCTTGTTGTGTTGCCTTCATAATCTGAGAATGCTTAAAGTAATGTAAGGCATGCTGTAAAATGTGGAATGGACTTTAATATCATTTTTCATGATTTGGTGCTTAAACTGTTTCTTTTAGTCAGATTAACTATAAATAGAGTTGGCAATCCAATAATTCCTCCTGAATCACCATGTTTGACTTCTGTGTTGATTTGAAACATCATATATTTGGATTTTGTTCACTCCTTAAGTAAAAATGGTAAGATGATAAAAAAGTGAAAATCTGCCAGCTGGGGTAGGGGTGTAATCTTTCATTTTTTTTTGGTAAGAAATAAGTGCAGACTAGTATTCTTTATTGTAATATGTTACATAGTAAGAAGGCTATGCATCATAGGTGTCATGACTGATTTCAAGTTTGAAATGTCTTGGTTAAGGTAGCACGGTAGTATTTGCATTCCAGAATTTAGGTTGCTCTTTTGTGTACCCTACTTAAGTCAATGTATCTGAACATTATGATTGGACAAAAAATACAGTATCAACTGAACATACTTTCCCAAACTGAGGGATGAATCAGGTGTAGAAAAATATGAAATAATTTTACATACAGATGAAAATGAATTTTTGAGAATTTTTTTAAATTTTGTATTCACTGCACGATAAAAGACCTAAAAGCACTAGTGGCCTTAGGTTCTTAAAGATAGCAAAAAAAGTAAACGGTCATGATACATATTCAAATTCATTTCTGAATAGTAAAATGAAAGTACTTCAGTTAACAGTGACTGTAGAATTTTTAGCAGTGTTAGAAAGTGGTGAAAATTCTAAAAAGGCTATCATTATCCCTTATGGACCAGGAAATACTACCGTGCCACCTAAAACACACTTTGTGAAAGGCAATATTTTCTGGAACATAGCCTGTCATAGCGATATTCGAGCCACCTGTGTGGGTACAGCATAAGATATTATTTTATTTTCATTGTTTGCACTAAAGATTTAATTTTCTATTTTGATACCACATACTTGTCATAAGATAAGATAAGAAAACTTTATTTTGATTCGGCATAAGTTAAAAGACACAACACAAGCTCTAAGGAGCTTTTGACCGAATATAAAAACATATACATAACATAAAAACAGTCTAATTTGACATATAAAACAACCTGTTATACGAAGTTAAATCTCACTTACATAGCATGCAATAAAAATTTAGCAACAAATTTAAAATGAAATAAAACATGCTAGACCAGAGCAACCAAAAGCAGCATAAATAATAAACATCTCAAGAATTATCTGCAAGCAGAACAGTGACATTCCAAACCGTTCCAGGACTGAACTGTCACAACTTGGATACAATAAATTTTTTTACAATCCATATCTAGAAGTGTAACCCAAGGGTCTGTGGGGTACACAAAAGAGAAACCTTGTTCCTGATGGAAGTTGAAGCATATATATACCATACAAGCAATGCATTTATTCATTTAGCAGTAAATGTTAGAATGTTACAAAAAATTATACTCGAAAATAGCATCAATATATACAGGGGACTCGGTAGCTGAGTGGTCTAAGTAGTCGAACTACTGTATCACTAGTCAACACTGAGGTAGTGAGTTCGAATCCCGCACGAGTCAGGTGCTCTAGACTCCAATCTTAATTGACTAGGATTGTCAGTTTTCCTACCGAAGGTTGGTGGTTCTCTCTGGGTACTCCGGCTTCCTCCACCAATAAAAACTGACAACCACGAAGTAGCACAATAGTGTTGAAAGTGGTATTAATCCAATCAATCAATCAATATATGCACATTTTATTATATATCTCCAATCACAATAAAAGTTTTAAACCATTTCCTTCATTTTGAGAATTATATTATCATACACTAAATTAGAATTCTGATCACTATTTGAGGTAGCACATTACATTTCCAACTCACAATCATTGTAACAAGGTAGAGACCATAGACCAATTCTGATCACTATTTGAGGTAGCACATTACATTTCCTACTCAAATCAGTGTAACAAGGTAGAGACCATAGACCAATTCTGATCACTATTTGAGGTAGCACATTACATTTCCAACTCACAATCATTGTAACAAGGTAGAGACAATAGACCAATTTTGAGTTACTCTGGTTAACAAGGGGTCAACATGTAAATGGTTGACGTCCTAATAACTCTTACTGTGATGTAATAACATAATTGTGAAATTTGAAACCTTCAGGAAAATGCATGAATGTGCAGACTGCTAGATGCTTTACAATTATTTTCAACTGAAAGGATTACAACCAGTAACCCCAATAAATGGTCCTGTATAGGTGCGTTAATTGTTTGAGTAAATCTAATATGTATGTATTGCTAAACATTGCTAAATGCATAATTTATGAAAGTATATAAAAAGAAATTGTAAGTGCTTCATATGATATAGATATATATTTTATGGTAATATTGTACTTAAAGCGCGGAAATCACTATGTGATCCGTGTAAACTCATCGAACCTTTAAACAAACTTATTAGTAAAGGTTATCTTACCAATGTTGTAATTAGTTCTTTGAATATAGTTTACATTGGCACTAATATCGATTTTGTCATCAGCAAATTAAAACATAACTAAATTTGTATTCTTTTCAAACGGGATGTATAAAGACACACCCACGTTCATTTTGATCTATAAAGAGGTTAAACTAACTTATAATCATACTGCCTGTTGATACATTTATTTTTGGCATTGCACAAGTCATGTCTTCTTTGACTGTCCATGACATTAAAATACTAAATCCCTGGGATGTGTTTTAGTTGATTTTAGTCTCTGGTGCATGATTTTTTATTATTAATTGTTTTTGGCTTTTAACTAGCTGTCAGTAACTGAGAGTACTCTCAAATCGTACTTTCTTGTTTATTTGACCTGTTGATATTAATTGTAATGCTTTTTTGTTATTCAATGTTATTCAGGGTTATATCTGGTCTATATACCAGCTTTGATAAGTGTTTGGTATTATTATAAATTTTCACTTCGTACTATGAAGATCAAAATTATTTATTTTGTAAAAATATTTCCTTTCTCTATTTGAACTGTACATGTATACCTAACAACAAAATTATTTTCATTTACCTGTGTTTAAAGTAATTGCAAATGGCTGATATTTTTGTTCGAGCATACTGTTTTTCTTAAATTGTTTAACATTTCATAGCGGTATAACATGTTACTTTTATTATTCTTCCCTTAGTTTATTTATTTTGTATTTACATTGTATCATAGGTCAAATTTATTTGTTCAGTGTATGTTCACTGGTGTTAATATGTCCTTTGATTGAGTTAAGCTATTTCAGTTGATATTTTATAGTGTGTCTTTCTATGTTGTGATGTTATACTATTGTTTCAGAAAAAGGGTGAAGGTTTGGTACCATTAAAACGTTTAAACCCGCTGCATTTGTTTGCACCTGTCCTAAGTCAGGAATCTGATATTCAGTAGTTGTTGTTTGTTGATGTGGTTCATAAGTGTTTCTCGTTTCTCATTTTTTATATAGATTAGACCGTTGGTTTTCCCGTTTGAATGGTTTTACACTAGTAATTTTTGGGGCCCTTTATAGCTTGCTGTTCAGTGTGAGCCAAGGCTCCGTGTTGAAGACAGTACTTTGACCTATAATGGTTTACTTTTATAAATTTTGACTTGGATGGAGAGTTGTCTCATTGGCACTCATACCACATCTTCTTATATCTATATATATATATATATTAGTCTAAAATAGGATAAGATTTTATTCAAGTCCATTTTTCTAAGAATTTGTCATCTTTTTCAACCATATATCATGATTTCATATGTGGTGCCAACTGAGACTCCTCCATTGAAATTTTGATTGAAAAGTAAAGAATATGGTATGTACAAAATATTTCACCATTCAGAAAACTGTCCGAAAAATATTTTAACATGTTTTCTTCAAAATTTCACAACATTATTGCAGTTAAAAATTTTCAAATTTTAAGGGTCAAAATTATGAGTTGGTCATCATGGTGATCCAACTAAATGTGTTTGCAGTTTATTAATTTAAAACTGAAATATCCCATAGAAATTTATTTGAATTTTATAGAATATTAACATTAATATTTTAAGAATGAATCAGAAGACAGGTTTTATTGCATGAATCTCTTAATTCTTTTCTTTTTGCAGACATATGTTGGTGACATTTTAATTGCAGTTAATCCATTCCGAGATCTTGATATATACGGAACTGAGGTAAGAGGCAGACTGGAGGAGACACTTATTAAGTTAAGGAATTGTGCAGACAGGAGGAGACACTAGTTGTTATAATTATAATGGAAGTTTTTAAGTCAAGAGAAATTTATATATAATGTATATTGTGCAAAAAGAAGAAAATACTTGTTTCACCATATTTGAATCTTTTACGGAAACACTTCTGTTTGAAACAGATGAAATATTTGTTTATTTTATTTAAATTTATGCTGCAATTTAATAAGTATCGGTTGTCTTCTTAAAAAGGAATTCGTGTGTATATATGTATACAGTATTCATGTTGGACAATATATCTTACCTTAAATTAAAAACTTAGATATAAAGCAGAATTGCACCAAAAGTGTTATCACCAGTTTTGAGGTGAATACATTTTGTACTACACCCAGGATATGCTAAAGAGAAATGGTTGAGTATTTTAAGAATACAAGGCAATTTTTATATTTACTCTGGTATGAAATTTTTATACTTTCTAAAGGAAGCTTCAATTTTACTTCAGAACTAAACAAAGCTGTTATTTTTGGTAGCTGAACAATTAAAGATAACAGAAATAAATCTCCTAGATTTAAGAAATGTAAAGTTCTACAATATTCTGTTTTGTAGGAAAGTCAGAAATACTATCTAGAGAAGAAGAGTTCAAATCCTCCACATATATTTGCAATATCTGATGCAGCGTATCAATGTATAACAGGATATGGAGGGAGAACACCAACCAATCAGTGTATACTTATCAGGTAATATTCATGAATATTTATATAGTGACAAGACACAAATGAAGCATTGTACTTGTTCTATGTAAGGTCAATGAATATTCATGTTGGGGAAAATGCAACCTTCTCAGTTTGTTATTTAATAGTACTGTGCATGTTGTATACTTATTTTAGTTAATGTGGTATTTCCAATGAATTTGTGTGTACATGTATTTAATTTCGTGGTATTTTTCAAAAATATCAAAACATTAATACCAGACTGAAAATATTTAAATGTCAATATGAAGAAAATAATCAAATATTATCCAGTCATCCAAACAGTAGTCTGTGTGATAGAGGTTATTATATAGTTACATTGTTAGTTACACAATAAAACTATTATATTTGGCTTTGGGCAAATTTTTTATCTTTTAATTTTTTTTCTGTCTGGATCAGTGGTGGTGTATTATCAGTTTCACAGTTCAATTGAGGTTATGTAATGTAAACAAGGTAAACATGCTTGTAGTTGTAAATGTATGGGGATATTTATTCAGTGGTATATATATATGCATGAAGTCTGCATTTGTATTTGCATATACATGTATTTGTTTTTCACGAAAATATACCTACTGCAAAATTCATGAAAATATAAACACCTCTAAACAAAGTACATGAACAGTTTATTCAGCAAAAAATTGTTAGGTAAATAAATGAAGACATGAATACCCGAATGCATGTGTGTATGCCCAAACCACAAGAATTATACTCACCCTCGTTCCAAGATTTGCATATGGTAGGTAAATGAATAAAGTTGCTAAAGGGATCTGAAGCCATCTGTATCAGTTACAACATCTCAATAGACACCTTTAATAAGAGCTTGACATATTGTGTAGATACCTCTTAGATGTTTTTATAAAAATAAGGAGATGTGGTATGATTACCAATGAGACAACTATCCACCAAAGTTCAAATGAAGTGGATGTAAGCAATTGTAGGCCAGTGTGGCTTTCAACAATGAGAAAAACCCATACCGTATAGTCGGCTATAAAAGGCCCTGACATGAAAAATATGAAACAATTCAATTGAGAAAACTAATGGCCTAATTTATAACAAAACAATTTAGGAAAAACAAATATGACAGACATGTTGTTTTGTGTGATTGGTGTATGCCCCATACCTCCCTTTACCTAATAGATTATAGGTTACTGTATACATCCAAGCTCAGCACAATAGTTTCCACAATAGAATAACAGTAAAAAGTCAAATAACAAAAATACAAAACTCCAAGGGAAAATTCAAAACAGAAAGACCCTTAACAAATGGCAAGATCAAAAGCTCAAACACATCAAACTAATGGAAAACAACTGTCATATCCCTGACTTGGTACAGGTATTTCCTATCATCTTATGCAGAAAATAGTGGATTAAACCTGGTTTTATAGCTAGCTAAACCTCTCACTTGTATGTCAGTAAATTATTGGTATTTTTTATATAAAGATAAATAGTAAAAGGTTAAAGTAATAAGACGGCTAATATAGAAACAACATTATAGCACTTGCCTCTTGCTTTGTATCTACATCAAATTTTACACAGGTAGCCATAAAGAGAGGGTGACTGCTATTTCATATCAGGTTTACTTTCTATATCATAGCAGCCACTTATAATGCTCTAGATATCTATCTATGTTGAACTATAGTCTACCTAGCTAGCCTATCAAGATGGCTCCACTGACACCATTTTGAATTCTCTTAGATAGCATGAATTTTTTTATTTAGCAGTTAGACTAGCCATGCATTCAGTTGTCCAAATCTACGTTCAGTCTATGATATTGAATGCACCCCAGATATCAAGTATTGGATATGTAGGTTTCTAGTTTGTTTTTTTACCAATATAGCTAATTAAGGCATGTAAGGATTTTGATAAATTTATTTTATTTTCAATGTCCAACCAAAAAAAACTTATTTTATCTTAAATATCCAGGTTTGATTGTTTTTGTAACGTTCTATTTTATGAAATTTATTATTTTATATTTATTTTTTATTGAATGTCCAGTTTTGATTGATTTTGAAAAAAATATCTAATGATTTGCAAAAAGCTAAATTATTTTGAATGTCTAGTTTACCAGTGCGCTGTCTTTTCATCTTTCCATATTTTTTGCTGATTTTAAACTTTTATCTTCCAGTGGAGAGAGTGGAGCAGGAAAAACTGAAAGTACAAAATTAATTATAAAACAGTTAATAGAACTATGTCGAAGCAATACACAGCTAGAACAACAGATTCTTCAGGTCAATCCACTGTTGGAAGCTTTTGGAAATGCTCAAACTTCTATGAACAACAATTCCAGCAGATTTGGGAAATATATACAGTTAGCCTTCAGGAATGGTCATGGTATGTTTTCCTTTTTAATCACTTTGTGCTTATGGAAAATCAGTTAAGTAGGGAAAAAAATCATGCTGATTTACAAACGTTTAAACAGTAATTTATTTCTTGGATAAGGAAAATATATTTAGTTTGCAGTTTTTGAAAACTTTCAAAAAATTTTTGATATAGTTTCTAGCCACATTCTGTATTCTTATCAAAGAAGGTTAAGTGTTATTTTCCTGAAATGAAGCCTGTTTGGAACAAAAAATAAATCTGTAGTGCCACAGTTAAGACTTTTCTCACATAGATTTGCCAATTGTTAGCAATTTGCATCAGCTTCAAAAAGTTTGCTTCTTATAATTGATTTAAAATTTTCCCCCTTGTTGAATGTAGTGATTGGAGCAAAAATATCGGAATATCTGCTGGAAAGGTCTCGGTTAGTCAGACAAAACCCAGGAGAAGAAAATTTCCATATATTTTACTACATGTTTGCTGGTTTAACAACAGAATACCAACAAAGATTTCACCTGCAGAATCCTGAAAATTACAGGTAGTTATATATATATATATATAATAATCTATAATACTTAAAGAACAAATATTCAGTGTTGAGGAAAATGTGTGGCTCCAACTAAAAGAGTTACACAGGTTGTATATAGAATCTTCTCTTACAGGCAAACTTTCTCTGCTTTTAATTGCAAATGTATTTTGTATGCACGTTTGAATGTTTCAATTCCCTCAGCAGTAGACTATATATATTCTGGATTTCTTGGAAGACACAATGTTATTCTTCTTCATGATAATCTGCATCCACGTTGGGATAACCTCCATATGAAGTATGTTATACAGGATTATCTGCATCCACGTTGGGATAACCTCCATATGAAGTATGTTATACAGGATTATCTGCATCCACGTTGGGATAACCTCCATATGAAGTATGTTATACAGGATTATCTGCATCCACGTTGGGATAACCTCCATATGAAGTATGTATTACAGGATTATCTGCATCCACGTTGGGATAACCTCCATATGAAGTATGTTATACAGGATTATCTGCATCCATGTTGGGATAACCTCCATATGAAGTATGTTATACAGGATTATCTGCATCCACGTTGGGATAACCTCCATATGAAGTATGTTATACAGGATTATCTGCATCCACGTTGGGATAACCTCCATATGAAGTATGTATTACAGGATTATCTGCATCCACGTTGGGATAACCTCCATATGAAGTATGTTATACAGGATTATTTGCATCCACGTTGGGATAACCTCCATATGAAGTATGTTATACAGAGTATTTTCAGGTCCCATGTTCCATTTTGTAATAAAAATCTTTTTTAGAACATTATATCGATCACCACAAAATAAAACAAATATTGATATAAAATGACAGACAATGTCACTGCCAGATACTGTAGGAACAATACAAACATGTAAACAATGATGGGGCATATTGAAATGAATTTTACATGACTTGTTATGAAATACTGTATGAATATGGCAAGTAGTTCTAGATGTTAGAAAAACACGGTTAATGAATACACTGGCAGAAAGAGAGAAAAATAAATAGTTCACATAAGAGAATTACCTCAAGAATAAATACTCCATAGCTGTAAAAACATAACAGCATACACTGTACCTACAAGGGCTGCAATCTAGTCAAGTTAGAATGTTTGTTTACAATATGACACTATGTATGCAGCTAAATTATAAAATACTATTCAATGATGTTTTTACTTGTAGATATTTATCTAATGGTGCATCTTGTTTAAAAAGTGAAAAGAAAAGTTTAAAAGAAAACTATGAAGACCTGAGAAACTCCTTAGATTTGGTTGGATTTACTGATGATGTAAGTTGTATAATAAGAAAAAAACAAATCGACAATAACAAATTCAGATAAAATTCATTATAACTATTTTAATATTTTAATATTTCGTAAAAGTCTAGTACTTTGTCTTTGTTTTTATATGTCTGTCTGAGATGTTATTATGTATAATGGTATACCATGGTTAGTCTGTCCATCAAAACATCTTACAAAAGCATAAAAATACTATAATCAAATTTTATGAACCTTTAATAGAAAATTTAAATTGGAAGAAGAAACCTCACTTTTGATTGGGAAAATTTTGCAATTTGTTCTTAAGTTACTGATTGTTTACTGTCAAGTTTTAGTCGTTTATTGTATGCCTGTGTGGTAAGTAAAACATAAAACAATGATGATCAGTAAAGAAGGGCGAGAGTTTCAGCGTGTGCACTCTTGTTATACTATATATATGTACAGTCTATTGATAGAAAAACTGTTCTATGTTTTAGGAACAAGAAAATATGTTTAACATGATAGCAGCTGTACTAAACCTTGGCAATGTACAATTTGGTATGGACGATGATGAAGCATCTTTTGTCGAAGATGACAATTCTTTCATTAAAGTTGCCTCGGTAAGTATATAATTGCCTCTGTAAGTATATAGTTGTCTCTGAAAGTGTATAGTTGCCTCTGTAAGTATATAGTTGCCTCTTTAAGTATATAGTTGCCTCTTTAAGTATATAGTTGTCTCTGAAAGTATATAATTGCCTCTGTAAGTATATAGTTGCCTCTTTAAGTATATAGTTGCCATTGTAAGTATATGTATATTATAATATATCAGTAAAAACTTTAATCTTAAAACCAAGAATAAAACTGTCAAAGAAGCCATTTGATAATTCACACAAAATATGAACCAGTGAAAGAAATAATAAAATCAATAACACTGTCTTTAATAATAAGAAAAAGTATGATGTAATAACAAATAAATTTCAGACTCTTCTTGGAATTCCTACAGAGGAAGTGGCTGGTACACTAACCTCTATGGTGACCTATACCAGGGGTGAAGAGGTCAAAAGGAACTACACACAACAACAAGCTGCAGGTATTCTACTTCTCTCTTATTTTTGCCCAAGTTACAAAAACATATTAAAAATTTGATGCTTTAAGAGCTTCAAGGAATTTCACCTGAATTGCTGCAGTCACATCTCTTGAATTGTATAAGTATCATACATTTTTAGTCACATATGCTCCCACAGTTTTAAGTTCAGGGTAAATACTTTTAATAATAATAACTTCTATATTTGAATCAGAAATGATAAATATGATTGCAGGTAACTTGTTAAAATTAGAAATACAAGGACATGTTGTATGATTGCCAATGAGACCATCATCCACCAAAGACCAAAGGACAGGGATGTGAACAATGATTGGTCAATGTATGGCCCTCAACTATGAGCAAAACTCATACAGCATACTTTTTAGAATTTATCATCTAACTCTTTTAAACACTTGTTAGAGTGGTTGTTTTCTAATTACACATGGAGTCTATAAAAAAGGTTTATAGAAAATGATAAAACAGATTTTTTTTATTTTGAAAAAGGTTGAATGCATATGAGCACACTAAGCCAAAATTTTTAAGTCCACCACTTGGCTACTATAGCCTTCTGTTCTTCCATACTTCTGACATTTTATGGCTGTTTTTATAAGGCTATTTATGAGGATTAATTGAATGTATTTTTAACAGAAACATTGACTACTATAAGTAAGTAATATTGTATTACATAAACTTTACAGATGCCAGAGATGCTATTGCTAAGGCTATCTATGGTAGAATGTTTGGTTGGATTGTGAACAAAATAAATCAGCTGTTGGCTCCACAAGAATATACAGAGGAAGGAGACAGGAGAGAGATAGGTACTATTTACATTTACAACATGTATAAGAAATACTATTGAAATTTCTTTATTGGATTACAGGTCAACATGTAATATATAGTTCATCTTTTCAAAATCTATCAAAATTGTAGTTTTGAGCCATCTTTAGGCATTTTAATTTGGTCATTTGTTCAAAAATACTCCAAAATGTTGTTTAAACCTTTAAAAAACACATTTGAATTTATGATACTGTGATTTTTTAATTAGATAAAAGAGCCTTTAGAAAATGGCCCTGGTGGAAAACAAATTCATGGGAAATTGTTCCTATCTCTTTGTATTTTGTTGAATATTCACGTATACCCACAAAATCCAAGAAAATTAGGTCCTTAGATTAATACTAAATCCACTGTAACTCAATAGAAAATATGTCAATTAATTACACACTTTAGAAACATTCTATCGTGCCGTGAGAATGAGTAGCCTAAAGTACAATTTAATATCTTTATTCTTATATCAGATATATAATTTTCAAAGGTATTTTAAATGTGATGTAAGGTAAGACAATCTTTTTTTCCAGTTTTTTTTATCATTTTACTTTCTAATGATATGAATGTATGACTGAATGATGACATTTTTATTTTAAATATTTATATATCATAATACTAATTGCTGCATGTTTGACTGAGATGTAGGAAATAATAATTGTAATGTTTTTTTTGTTCTGACCTGCTGACTGCAGCAGTTTAAGTTTGTGTTTATTTTAAACTTTCACATGTAAGTAGTTTGGAAGACTGAATATTTTGGTGACAATCCTAGATATCAATTCTAATATGACGTTCTTCTTTTGCTTTGTAAATAAAACCCATGTTCTAATTCGAATAGAACATGGGTTATTGATGTCACAATTAAAATTGCATTCTCAGTTGTATTTTGAACAACACTGCAGATCAAAATGGATATTTGTGCTGGTGATGCTTGCTAAGATATTAAATAGAATCATACTTAAATAAAGTTTACATGTATCTGTTCATGTTTTAATAGTGAAACGGTTGGTTTCTACAACATTATGGCTTCATCAAGTCAAAATGGCTGCCTTTTGTAGGTGTCTTATTGGTTGAACTCTATATACAAATGTTCTAAATTTTCCTATTACAACCTCAAAACTTTATAAGAAAGTAGGTGACATATACATTGTTATTTTTACATATTAAATTGCATTTTTAGTATGAACAAATAAATTCATTAGTTTTCGTATTCCAAACTCCTTGATAAAAGCATGCATAACATGTACATCATATGATTTAGAAAGTTAACATGTTTTTAAGATTAACAATGGATTGTATCTCTTAATTGCAGGTATTTTAGATATATTTGGATTTGAACATTTTGAAAAGAACAGTTTTGAACAAGCTTGTATAAACCTTGCTAATGAACAGTTACAGTTCTTCTTTAACCAGGTGATCATTTTATCATAACAAGATTGTATTTTACTAACTTTAAACATATTAACAATTGGAACTTTACTATTTTTATTATCACTATCATTTGATAGTTAATACAATGTATTTTATAATTTTACCATTTAAAATAAGAAGAAAAAATCAAAGAATTTATAGTTACTGATTGCAAATCTTAGAAATTACTGCAATGCATTCAATAAGAAAACTATGAATCTAGTATTCTTTGTTTGAAAGCTTCCTTAATTTTATATATATTGATCACAACAAATACAACTCATTAAGATGTACTGGTATAATTATTTAACAGATATTTGTATGAAAAGAATTGATTTTGTTGTACAGTCATTTTTTCAGTGTGCAAAATAATGTGGTGTGTTGATTCATATAATGTATATATTTATATAGATATGATAATTAAGAAGTGATTAACTCAATTTGGAAGATTTAATAAGTACTGTGATTCTTGTATCTCTGTAACATGTGTTGAGACTTGTCCAGGAAGTTATATGATTCTTGTATCTCTGTAGAATGTGTTTAGACTTGACCAGGAAGTTATATGATTCTTGTATCTCTGTAACAAGTGTTTAGACCTCACCTGAAAGTAATATGATTCTTGTACCTCTGCTGCTTGTGTTGAGACTTGATCAGGAAGTAATATGATTCTTATATCTCTGTAACAAGTGTTTAGACCTGACCTGAAAGTAATATGATTCTTGTACCTCTGCTGCATGTGTTGAGACTTGATCAGGAAGTAATATGATTCTTGTATCTCTGTAACAAGTGTTTAGACCTGACCTGAAAGTAATATGATTCTTGTACCTCTGCTGCATGTGTTTAGACTTGACCAGGAAGTGATATGATTCTTGTATCTCTGTTGCATGTCTTGAGACTTGATCAGGAAGTAATATGATTCTTGTATCTCTGTTGCATGTCCAGGAAGTAATATGATTCTTGTATCTCTGTTGTATGTGTTGAGACTTGATCAGGAAGTAATATGATTCTTGTATCTCTGTTGTATGTGTTGAGACTTGATCAGGAAGTAATATGATTCTTGAATCTCTGTAGCATGTGTTTAGACTTGACCAGGTTGTAATCTGATTATTGTATCTCTTTAGCATGTGTTTAGACTTGAGCAGGAAGTAAAATGATTCTTGTATCTCTGTTAGCATGTGTTTAAACTTGAGCATGTTGTAATATGATTCTTGTATCTCTGAAGCATGTGTTTTGAGCAGGTTGTAATATGATTTTTGTATATCTGTATCATGTGTTTAGACTTGAGCAGGTTGTAATACGATTTTTGTATCTCTGTGGCATGTGTTTAGACTTGACCAGGAAGTTATATGATTCATGTATCTCTGAAGTATGTGTTTAGACTTGAGCAGGTTGTAATATGATTTTTGTATCTCTGTAGCATGTGTTTAGACTTGAACAGGAAGTAATATGATTTTTATATCTCTTTAGCATGTGTTTAGACTTGAGCAGGAAGTAATATGATTCTTGTATCTCTGAAGCATGTGTTTAGACTTAAGCAGGTTGTAATATGATTCTTGTATCTCTCTGTAGCATGTGTTTAGACTTGAACAGGTTGTAATATGATTCTTGTATCTCTGTAGCATGTGTTTAGACTTGAGAAGGAAGTAAAATGATTCTTGTATCTCTGTAGCATGTGTTTAAACTTGACCAGGAAGTTATATGATTCTTTTATCTCTGAAGCATGTGTTTAGACTTGATCAGGTTGTAATATTATTCTTGTATCTCTCTGTAGCATGCATTTAGACTTGAGCAAGTTGTAATATAATTCTTGTATCTTTGTAGAATGTGTTTAGACTTGAGCAGGTTGTAATATGATTCTTGTATCTCTCTGTAGCATGTGTTTAAACTTGACTAGAAAGTTATATGATTCTTTTATCTCTGAAGCATGTGTTTGGACTTGAGCAGGAAGTACTATGATTCTTGTATCTCTCTGTAGCATGTATTTAGACTTGAGCAGGAAGTACTATGATTCTTGTATCTCTCTGTAGCATGTATTTAGACTTGACCAAGAAGTAATATGATTCTTGTATCTCTCTGTAGCATGTATTTAGACTTGAGCAGGAAGAGTATACCAAGGAAGGCATAGACTGGAAGGAAATCAAGTTTGTGGATAATCAGCCATTATTGGTTAGTATCATACAAGTTCTTCAATTAAATGTTTGTAGTTAGTCAAATACTATTAAGTAATATTAATTTTATAGGCTTTCATGACTGGCACATCATTCTTGGAATGAGTGATTGTAATAATATAATTTTACTTTCTTACATCCTATAATTATAACAATAAACTGGATTATTTATCTCGTTCATTTGTTGTTTCAGTGATTTGATATTTCAGATATCATTGGGTTCCAGAATTACAAACTAGATTAGATTATCGATAATTTTGGAATAACATTCCAACAGCAGTGTCGTCAAGGACATTGTAAAATTGTCCCCTGAAAATTGCCAGAAGGCATGAAAGCGCTAGGGACAATATTTTAATGAACTTTGATTAATTGATGTGAAATGTAGTCTTTGCCAACTATAGATTATCATATATTTATATATATATATATAAAAATTTGTATTTTAAATATTTTTTTCTTTTTTGTATTACAGGATTTGTTCCTTGTGAAACCCATTGGTATTCTATCTTTACTTGATGAAGAAAGTCAGTTTCCAAAGGTAAAAATGAATTACTGCAAATTTATGAATAAATATAAGTCAGTATTCATAATTTGAAATGTTAATTTAAAATTCAATTTCATGTAGATTGGGGGTCTAAATTAAAAACGATAGAATTTCTTAATACTTCTCATAAATATATTTATATCAGGCTCATTTAAAAAATATAATTAAAAAAAAAGGGTCAAAGATCTTTTTGCAATCTACAAGTGGTGCAAAATTGTCTAAAAAAGCAGCAAAAACCTGTTTTAAAGTCTTTGTTTTCATCGACCAGGGATCAAACTCTTAACCTCCCACACTGTAGGAGAACTTGCTTCCTCAAGACCACCAAGGCAGTTGATTTTATATGGAAAATTCACTTTTGTGTCAAAAGAAAGAAAATTAAACAATAGAATTTTGAAATAAAATATGAGAAGATAGCTCTTCTTTCAGAAAATTTAAAGAAAATTGGGGTTGCTACAAACTAAACCAAGATAATTCGCTTTATAATATTAAATTATCTGAGTTATCTCCACTTGTATGGCTAAGATGAAAAAAATTAAATCAAACAAAAGAATATTCTGTATTTGTGAAAACAGTCAAAATAATAAGAAAAACCACAAAATCTTATTCATTGAGATGAAGAGACAATTAAATGGGATTCCTGTCTCCATTTTTATACCCCACCTACAATAGTAGAGGGGCATTATGTTTTCTGGTCTGTCCGTTCATTCGTCCATCCATTTGTCCGTCCGACCGTCTGTCCCTCTTCAGGTTAAAGTTATTGGTCAAGGTAGTTTTTGATGAAGTTGAAGTCCAATCAACTGGAAACTTAGTACACATGTTCCCTATGATATGATCTTTCTAATTTTAATGCCAAATTAGAGTTTTGACCCCAATTTCACGGTCCACTGAACATAGAAACTGATAGTGCGAGTGGGGCATTCGTGTACTATGGACACATTCTTGTTTTTTTATATTTCATTAAAGATCTTGACCTATTGTTTTCTGCTATTTTATGATCCAAGATGGTGGAAGACCCACTATCTACATTGAAAAATATAAATGAAATAGTCCCAAGTACATCTTTTTTATTGACATTGAACGATGGTCACGATAAAATTTTATAGCTTTAATCATGATTTCTATTTCAAAAGTTTCTATGAAAATATTAGAATTGTCTCCCCTTAGAAGAAATAAGGTGTTCAATGACAATAAAAAAAACAATGCAAAAGTATTTCTATATATCTGTATGATTCTGAAATGGGTTGAATAATAATTGTCTCCCTTTATTGTTATCAAGTTAATGTATTTTTTAATGTTATTCAATATATTATTAATTGTAAATATGAAATTTTCTCTAAGTTTGCATTGTGAAAAAAGTAACATCAATATGAAACCTTCATGCCAAATTATTATAAATTGTTTTTGAACATTTGGTCTGTCTAGGAATATTTAATTATAGGGGAAAAGTGAATATTTTCTTGTCAGAGAGGAATGTTTCAAAATAAATATTTTTATTTATTTGCTCCCTTCTATATGTATGCATAATGAATTTGGATAAATGTTTTTTACCCTCCCATTAAACATTTCCATAAATAAAAACGTCTAAATCACTTAAAAGACACTTTTCAATAAACAAGATGATGGAAAATACATGTATTTATAAGATTTTATTTTATCCTAGGAAACTGCTTTTGACTTCTCATTTACCTTTCTATTTACAGGCTACAGATGCAACATTTGTAGATAAATTAAATAAACATTTTGGTAAAAACAGTTACTATGGCAAATCACAGCACACGAAATCTAGCAAATTTACCATCAGTCACTATGCTGGAAAAGTAAGTTTGAAATCAACCTGTCTTTACCACAGATACTTTCTGTTGTAGGTTTTAACTGTGTAAACCTGATTAAGGCAGCTAGTCGTTTGTTTAATAGATTGATCAGTAACGGAACTTTGGCTTTGTAGAATTAATCAGGTTTTCTGACATTGCATATTCATAAATGACATTGGTAGTTAGATTTATGAAATATAAAATATGTATATTTTATAAATATATAACAAAAATTCACTTATGGAACTAAAAGGTCATATGAGAATCTTTACTTATTCCTAGAAGTGATATAAATCTGATGCAGTGACAATTTTTATAAATCAAGTGCTTATCCAATTTTTATGATAATTCAGAGAATGGATGAAGTCTTTTTGATTGGTTGCAGTTATGAATATTCTATGATGTTGTTAATTACTTTTTGATAAAACACCATAAATACCAGATTTTGTGTCCAGCTTTGATAACTGGCAAATGTCAATATACTTTTATTTAAATCACCAGTAAATCTACTTATCTATATCAAAGCATATCTGAGAATTAGATTTTTTTTATAGGCTTTTCAGTTTGTAGTGAAAAATCTTTAATAGAAAAATTTGATTTCAACTTTTAATGTAGAAATAGCTGCTGAAAAGAAAAATTATAATTTGAATGATTTGAAATTAATAAGATGATATATATTTTGTAGGTAACCTATGATGCTTCCGAATGGTTAGAGAAGAATCGAGACTCATTACCTGCAGGATTGCAAGAAATGTTACAAGGCAGTACTAATGACTTGGCTAAACTTATATTTAGAGGTAAGATACCAGTTCTATTGACTTGGCTAAACTTATATTTAGAGGTAGCAGACTTACCAGTACTAATGACTTGGCTAAACTTATACTTAGAGGTAGGCTGTATATTCCATTACTAATGACTTGGCTAAACTGATATTTAGGTGTAGGATACTTACCTGTACTAGGGACTTAGCTAAACTTAATTTAGAGGTAGGCTGTACATACCTGTCCTTTGAAAATAAAATTTTTTAAAATTTCAACAGGTTCAAGTAGAATACCTGTTCTCTGGAGTAAAACTTGAAATCAGCAGGCTAGTCTAATTAAAATTAGTGGGAATGATTTTTATTCTTGTATAATAACCAAATTTGATATTTATAGAATAACTAATCGAAGAATTCAAATAGAGAAAAATATTCAACGAGTGACCGAACGACACATTAATTCACGAATGCGCATAGCGCACGAGTTAATTATCAGTGTTGTTCGGTCACAAGTTGAATATTTTTCAATATTTGAATTCTTTGATTAGTTATTCTTTTTATTACATTGGCAAATGGCTTTTTTTTATGAAATTAAAGTAGAAAATGTAAGGAACTATATCTTTTTCTACGCATTCACAATTTGTTTTGATCCGACGTTATCGACGTCTTGACAACGCCTATTGTTGTATAACATCAGAGGAGTGAAATAACCACGTTTATTTCACATGTGAAATTATCGGTTTTTATTTCACTGGGAAATCAATGTAATTCATTGCAACCAATGTAATAAATAGACAATATTATCAGCTGTGTGCTTGAGAAATTTTGGCTTGGATGCATGAAGTGCAAAACCTGCTTATATAAAATAAGGAGATGTGGAATGATTTCCAATGAGACAACTATCCACCATAGATCAAAAGATTAGGATGCAAAAAACTATAGGTCATCATACTACCTTCAACAACGTGCAATAGCCTTACTGTATGGTAATTGACTTGGCATGACAAAATGTCGAACAATTCTAAAGATAAAACCAACTGTCTGATTGATGCTAAAAGCAATGATATAAAAACAATTAGTGTAGATGGCAACCAACAACAACCACTGAATAACAGACTCATGATTTTGGACAGGCACTTAAAGAATGTTTCAGGGTTAAACATGTTTGTGAGTGCTCCCCCTCCCCCTATTTAATTGTTTTTTATTCATGTTATTGTTTAAGAAACATTCTGTGCCACTCTCCTTTTGAGTTTTGATCTATTTTTGTTTGAATACAATGTACTTTGAAATCATTGTGAATGTAGCAAATAATGTCAGAGTTTGAATTAAAGTAATAAGAAAGCAGAATCAAAATAGATTTTCTGTTTCTATTTTTCAAAAGATTTATGAATGTAATTTATTTTCAAATAAGTAAATATAGATAAAAACAATTGATGGAAATGTTCTTACATTTTACATTATTTTTTTATAAGCTCAAATAACAAGAACTGGTACCCTAGCACTACAGTCAAGAAAATCCAGACATACTAGGAAGAGCAAGGTAAGAACATCTAATAATGCATTAACTATCAGAATCTAGAAATAAATAAAAAGTAGATTAAAAATTGAAATACCCTTAAATATGATGTTAGTTTAATGGAATTAATATATCTTGTTTATTCTGCAAAAATATTGATGACTTTCCTTGTTATATCCGTGTATATAATTTATAAAACTGATATTACAAGTCTAAAACATTTTGTTTTATTTGATGGCTTTAAGAAAGTGACTGTAGAATGGTAGTTTAACGTTTTACATTTACTTACAGAGACCATCAGTCGATGGAGGAAGAAAGAGGAAGCAGACGGTCGGGGGACAGTTCAAGGTCAGTTATAATCAACTCTTTATATTTCCATTTGTTTTAAATCATATGGTATTGAAAATTTATGAAATTAGAATTATGCCACCTGAGAAACTAAAGCTCTTACTACTAGAAAATTTTGAAATCTCCACTTTTTGGCTCAGTAGATTGGGACATGTTTAATTTGTTACTTAATAATTTCAGAATTCTTTACAAATATTAATGGAAAGAATGACGTCTGCCACGCCTATATTTGTGAGATGTCTCAAACCAAATCATGTCAAAAGTCCTGGAAAGTTTGACACTGTCTACATCAAACAACAGGTATGTACATGAGAATATTTTTCCTCTTGAATACTCTATTCAGTCATTGAAATAATAATAATAATAATAATAATAAATTCTTTATTTAAAGAGGGTAAACTCAGTTAGTTACAATAAACTAATCTTCCCTGAGGCCCTCACATACAAATTACAATACAATCAAAAACAGATATTTACACATAGTTAATTTAGAGTCAAGTAGTTCAATGTAATATTGTTAACATGATAAGATATAAAGCTGTTCAAGATGTACATGTAGTCAAAAAAACAAATAAAAATTTTAAAAAAAAATATATACAAATACATTGTAGAAAACATAATCTTATCAGGACTGTGTTTAGTACTTCTTGATACTTTGTTTAAAAGTATAAGTGTTTTGAGCTTTACGCATTTTGTGTGGTAATCCATTCCATAACACTGATCCAGAATAAACAAAAGATTTCTTAAATAGCTCAGCTTTTGGCTAAGGAACAATCAGATTACCTTGAGTGACACCTCTCAAGGAGTAAGGATTATTATCTGATTTCAGTATAAACTTTTGAAATAGGTACATTGGTGCTTCCATATGCATACATTTATATAGAAGTAAATATTTGTGGTATTTGATTCTATTGTCAACTGTCATCCACCCAAGTTTTTTAAATAAGGGGGCTGAGGGGGATAAAGGATCTGCATCTAGAATTAATCTTGCTGCCCTTTTTTGGAGTTTTAAAATTCTTGTTATCCCTTCATTTTTACATTCATCCCAAATAATACAGCAGTAGTCAATTAGGAACAGAATATACCCATTGTATTATGTTTCCGTGCATTTATATCTAAAAATTTCTTTATTTTAGAAAGAAGGTATATTCTGGATGATATATTAGCACAAACTTGATCAATTTGATTTCTCCAGTTAAGTGTGCTGTCAATTTTAACACCTAATATTTTTTCACATGAAGAATTTTGTAATACTTTTGAATTTATTATCAAGTTTGGTTTATAAGTCTGAATTGATAGTTTCTGCTTTGTTCCAGTAACCAAACATTTTGTTTTATTTGCTTTAATGAACATGTTATTCATTTTGCACCACTCTTCAACCCTGTATAAATCTTCTTGAACATCATCATGTATATTTTCTATGTTTTTCCCTGATTTATGAAGAGTGGTGTCATCAGCATATAGGTCTGTTTCACAATTTTCAATGCATAAGGGAAGGTCGTTTATAAATAGCACAAACAATAGAGGACCAAGTATAGAACCTTGGGGGGGGGCACCAAATTTTACATGTTGTTATTCAGAATAAACATTACAAATGTTTACCTGCTGTTTTCTGTTATTCATGTATGACTTGAAAAAACTAACAGTAGCCTCACTAAATCCATAAATTTCAAGCTGTCAATGAGGTTAGCTAATGAAATTCATAGAAATAAAATTTTAAAGCCTAAATTATAAAATGAAGATCTTTATTTACTTGCTTTTATTAAGGATAAAAATTGTATAAAGTATTATAAATGACATGTTGAAATTTTATCTTTTTTATTTTGTGAGAAACAATATTTCAAAGTTGGACCTGTAAATTTTCCAATTGCTATTTAACATCAAAACCCAAATTAAATATGAGATTTTTTTTACAGCTTTTATACACAGGAATGCTGGAAACTACAAAAATAAGAAGAGAAGGATTTGCTGTCAGACCAACTTTTCCTGAATTTGTTGACAAGTAAGTAGTATGGTGAATATGAATTGTTTTCACACTTTTATAAGCCCGTTTTTCAATTATAATGAGGTTGTCTTGTACAAGGTAAACGCCCACCCCCTCATGTCAACCTTACTTTCAATATTCATTGACATTATTTTATAATTTTCCTTACAGATACAAAATAATAGTATGTAAAGCAAGTTTACCAGGAACAAAGGAGAACTGTTTAAAGATTTTGAAAGCCAGTAAAATAACAGGGTGGCAACTTGGGTATGTATTAATACTTTGATTTAAACTGGAGAATTTAAGGTCCCAGATATATGAAATGCTGTGTATTTTATTATATAAGTATCTTCATTTAAATGTAAAATGTTAAAATAAAATACCATATATATTGATAATTTTGTCTCTGGTACTGGATATTTTGAAAATAAGATACAATGAAAAACCCTTGATATTTTGTAAAAAAGAAAATGTGATCTTATAAAAAGAAAGTTTAGACTGACTACTAGTACTTGGATGTGAATATATATATAGTATATCAACTTTAATTTTATAATTTTACTTGTAGAAAAACTAAAGTATTTTTAAAGTATTATCACATAGAACAGTTAGCAGATATCTTTAAATTAATGGGAAAATCAGCAGTACAGTTACAGAAATGTAAGTGATGCTAATTGTTAAAAAATATCAGACCACTCAATTAATGACTTTCAAAATTTACCTAACCACTTTCATTTTAAAGCACCATTTTATGGCTTATGTTTGTCAACCTCAGGAGCAAGAGTGTTTTTTCATAAACAGACATTTGCTGAGTAGTTGACAAGGTATATTACATAAAAAGAATAGAAACAGGATATATTGTAGTGGCTGATAGGTCCTGTAAAGTTATCTGTTCACCAGCTACTTAAAACACTGGATGAATAGGATTTGACCATTTTTATTTCTTAACATTTTCATTGAAAAACTGATTAACTTCTTTGAGTTAAATTCAGCATCTGTCATTAATTGTGCAGCATTTAGGCATGACCATATTTATTATATCTTAGTTGTAATTTTATGACAGCCAATTTAATGGTTCTTAGAAAAAAATAATTGTTACTGTAATCATTATTTTTTGGATAGCTTCTTTACATTTGTTGCTTTTCATTTTTTGTCTTGCCTGAGACTTTCATTGTGAAAGCCAGACATAGATGTTAGCAGCGGCGTAGGATGTGTCAACAATTGTTAAATTTTCTGCTTAGGTCAGTTTGATAGGAACTACTTGCGATAGATCAATGATATTTTCTTTAAAATTGCATTACTATCAATACATATCAATTTGACTACTATTTCAAGGCCCTTACCCCTAGGTCATGGTCCTTCAACTTTGAATTAATTAGCATTTTTCAATGTTAAGTTTTTTGCTTAAGTTAGTTTAATGGGAACTACTTGTGAAAGATCAATGATGATTTCTATAAAGTTGCATTATTATCAGTACATATCAGTTTGAAAACTATTTCCAGGCCCTGCCCCCTTAGGTCATGGTCCAGCGACATTGAATTAATAAGCAATGTTGCTGTCCATCAGATTGTCCTTTTTCAAATTTTCTGAGACAGGCAAGACATATCTCTGTGTCAACAGTTTATGTAGATTTCAAGATTTATTAAACCCGCTACATTCAATACTAAACAAAATCGGTTTGTTTCATTGAATTGTTTTGCCTGTTCAAGAATTGAAATCAACTTCTTTTCATAAAAGCATTTTTCATAATGATTTAATAAATTTATTCTTTGAATTCCAGTGGTAAGGGGTTTTCTTGGAAGATGTGACTACAAAAGACGTCTAGCCGAGGCAAGACAGCAAGCAATGAGAGTTCAACATTTACTTGAGAGTATTCAGAATCTTAGTATAGATCTGAGTAATTATCAACAGGTGGCGCTGTTAAATGATCAAAAGATTCCAAAAGGTACTTCTGATTTAGTTGCCCCTGTATTTTAAATTAAACAGACTTCATAAAACTTCATCAGAGAATTTTCTGACATTTGGTATGGCAAATTGCAAGGACTTTTCTGACTGACAAAAAATTGGTCACTCTGAAAATTTAAGGGGAAAAATAAGCTGTTTTTCCTGAAACTTGAAACTTGTATTTATGTTGATTTTGATGCCACAATATGGGATCAGACAGTTCAGTTTACAGGACTTTATGGCAGGTGAATGGCTTATATCTTCTGAGCAGAATAATTGTTAGATTTGTCCTACAGACATGAAACAGAAAGATTTATCAGAAAATTTAATGAATAAAAACTCAATATGATAGAATGACAAGATAAAGTTCAAGCAAAAAAAATAAAGCACTGAAAGAAAAATCAATTTTCTTAGAAGTTTATACTGACAAATTCAAAATTAGAAATGAAAGAAATTATGCACTTTACATTTAATTTAATTTATCTGAGACCATGAAAAGTGTTTTCCTCATAAGAAATGTTAATATGAACAGTTCCAATATATTTTTCAGCATTCTTTGGGAAATATGAAGAGAATGAGCAACCACCATATATCCCATCGTTTAATTCTGATGTAATATCTATACAACCATCAATGAGGAGTTATGAACAACCTGCCAAGTCTCCTCCAACCTCACGAGAAATGGGAACTCAGGTAATTACATATCTAGGTGTGATTACAAGCATAATACCTGAAGGGGTTAAAAAAAAATTACTTTAAAAAGAATCGTTTCTGGAAGAACTTCATAAAACCAAATATGTTATCTTTGATAATGAATAAAGGAGATGTGTGGTATACATCAATGAGACAGCAACCCAATAACAATAATAACAAAAACAAATCATTGCATATTTTACAAAGTTTTGAGCAAATTAGACATAGGACAAAGAATTTGGTATGAAGTTAAAAATTTGTAAATTTATTTTGGAAATACATAGTAGAGTAATTTATTGCTAAAGGTTTATTAGATGTTTTTATAAAGGATAATCACTCAGAAAACAAATGACTATATTCATTTTGCATGTATTTGCAGGCCAGTAGTTCAGAGTCAGAATTTTCAGATGATGAATTTAAACCAATATCATCCACAAACTTTGGTCCTCCAGGGACAAAACATGCCACGATTAGGTGGTTTAAAGAAACACAAACCCAACAGGTGTATGATCCTGTCAATACTGATGGCAACTTTATAGCTGAATGGTTCCATGGTGTCATTAGTAGGAAGTAAGTATTCATCACTGGTAACTTTATAGCTGAATGGTTCCATGGTGCCATTAGTAGGAAGTAAGTATTCATCACTGGTAACTTTATATCGCTGAATGGTTCCATATTTTTGCAATAATAAAAACATTCTGGAATTTCTGGATTTTCAGTACTGTACCATTTTGCATGATGCAGTATATAATTGCATCTTAATGTTTTTGTCTTATTTTAAAACTTGGTTGGACAGAAAGTGTACAGGTTAATTAGGATTTAGATATCAAAATGTCATTTATATACATTTGTATTCACAATTATGTATAATATTGCACTATCATTCATAATGCTAACATCTGGAGGAATGTTGTAGAAATTTGAAACGATGAATTTCCAGATTCAGTACATTGTTATTCCTTTATGTATATTTTCAATACCCTTGTTTTATTTTCATTGTTGACATTCAGTAATCTTTCAGTAATATTCAATTAAAATGAATTTATGTATTTTACAGAACTTCAGAAAGATTATTAAAAAGTAAATCCGTTGGATGTTTTCTTGTCAGGGTCAGTGAGAGTAGATTTGGTTACACCCTCTCTTTCAGGTAATCATATGTTAACAGTTTTAATTACTCCCAAAATGATATTCAGGTAGATATATGAGCTTTTAGAAAGCTTTTCGTAAAATATAAGATGATAAAAGCAGTATTTATTTCAGCATTTGACAATCCCGGGGAACAACTGGGACCTTGATGGCCGAGTTGTATGAATAATTATTTTATATAACTAGCCTGTCAAAACTGGGGTGGTGAGTTTGTCTTCAATCTTGATTATGATTGCTAGTTTTCCTGCTGAAGGTTAGTGGTTCTCTCCTGGCACTCCGACAACCTCCACCAGTAAAAACTGCCCGCCATGATATAGCTAAAAGTGGCAATCGATCTGCGGAACAACTTGACATAGCCCTTGAATGTGTGCTGACCCTGCATCAAATTGCTATTAATCAATCAAACCAATCATTACAACACTTAGCTATAATTTCATGTCTATAAGTTAACAGATATATTATAATAAAGGTAATTTCATTTCTGCCACTAAAGTTTGTTTAAAATCTATAACCATAACAATTACTGTAAATTCAGAATTTTTCCCCATGTTTATTATTGAGAAAATTGTGACTGGATAGGTTTCACAAAAATAAAATTCAAATTTTAAATTTTGACAGCATTTCATTAAATTGCAATAATAAGCTCTCACAAAACATTTTTAACCCCACCACATTTTTTCGCCTGTCCCAAGTCAGGAGCCTCTGGCCTTTGTTAGTCTTGTATGATTTTTGATTTTAGTTCATTTATATGTTTTGGAGTTTAGTATGACGTCCATTATCACTGAAATAGTACACATTTTTGTATAGGGGCCAGATAAAGCACGCCTCCGGGTACGGGATTCTCTCTATGTTGAAGACCCATTGGTGGCCTTCGGCTGTTTTCTGCTCTTTGGTCAGCATGTTGTCTCTTTGACACATTCCCCATTTCCATTCTCAATTTTATTCGTATTTGTGTCTTTTGTTCAACAATTGCAAAAATAAAATGCATGCACAAACTTCTGAATTTACAGTGTAAAAGAACAGGAAAAATTTACCATAACAACCATACAAAAAATAATCACCGTGATCAAGTTCATTGTTAGAAAAATGACAAAGATAAGTTAGATTGAATTAATTATTTGACCATGAATATGCTTAAATGTATGTTATATATTGTTTATTATTTTGGTAAATGATAGCTTAATATAATTACTTCAATATGTAAGAAAATGTTTGTCATGTTAATACAATTTTAGGTTTTTTTTCCTTTATAGAGCAAAGGATAGGTCAAGACATTACATGATAGACCAATTAGCCAATAAAAAGTTCATTATAATTGGAGAGCCTAAAGTTCATAGAACATTGAAAGATCTTGTTGAATATCACAAAAAAGTAAGAAATATACTAAAACTTCTTAAGAGGACAAATTTATTAGACAGTCCTTCTTATAAAAAGTATAATCGATCTAAACCATACAAATACACCATTGATACACAAAGTATAAACCTTCTAGCAATTCTATCTTCTGAGTATAAAACTTTGTATAAACAAGCATTCTGTGAGTATTGCATGGCAATACATAGTCCCCTACCGGTTAAAAATTCATAGAATTGGAACAAAATTCTAACTTGATCTATAACTTGTCATGGTGTAATCTATATGTTGTGTACAAGTTATCATTTTGTACAAAAAAATTGTACAAATTATAATTTGTATTTTGACTTCATACAAATTGTAATTTGTACAAAAAGTGCTGGTACAAATTTTGACTAAAATTCACATATAACTTGTACAATAATTTATAGTATGGATTTTGTTATAAAAAAAGCATTGATACACACTATAGAATTTTTAATCAATGACCACACAATAAACCTTATTTACAAAATACAAAAATACCCAAAATGTAATTGATACATGCATGCCAGTTAATTCTGATAGTACAATAGAAATTGGCTCCGGTGACAATTCTGATAGAATAATAAAAATTGGCCCCAGTGACAATTCTGATAGTATAATAGAAATTAGCTCCAGTAACAATTCTGATAGTATAATAGATATTGGCCCCAGTGACAATTCTGATAGTATAATAGAAATTGGCCCCATTGACAATTCTGGTAGTATAATAGAAATTAGCTCCAGTAACAATTCTGATAGTATAATAGATATTGGCCCCAGTGACAATTCTGGTAGTATAATAGATATTAGCTCCAGTAACAATTCTGATAGTATAATAGAAATTGGCCCCATTGACAATTCTGATAGTATAATAGAAATTGGTCCCAGTGACAATTCTGGTAGTATAATAGAAATTAGCTCCAGTAACAATTCTGATAGTATAATAGATATTGGCCCCAGTGACAATTCTGGTAGTATAATAGATATTAGCTCCAGTAACAATTCTGATAGTATAATAGAAATTGGCCCCATTGACAATTCTGATAGTATAATAGAAATTGGCCCCATTGACAATTCTGGTAGTATAATAGAAATTAGCTCCAGTGACAATTCTGATAGTATAATAGATATTGGCCCCAGTGACAATTCTGGTAGTATAATAGAAATTAGCTCCAGTAACAATTCTGATAGTATAATAGATATTGGCCCCAGTGACAATTCTGATAGTATAATAGAAATTGGCCACAGTGACAATTCTGATAGTATAATAGAAATTGGCCACAGTGACAATTCTGATAGTATAATAGATATTGGCCCCAGTGACAATTCTGATAGTATAATAGAAATTGGCACCAGTGACAATTCAGATTGCGTTATAGAAATTGGCCCCTGTGACAATCTGATAGTATAATAGAAATTGGCCCCAGTGACAATTCGGATGACACTGACGTTGAAAAACCAATCATACGTGCCAGGAAGCGTGGGCTGTTTGGCCAACAGATCCAAGCTGAATATCAAACCAAGAAAACGAAACGGAAATTATCAGAACTTGCTGTGGGGGATAATGTCATTATACCAATTCCTCAGTATGATTGTGCCCCAACTAATCCTCGAAATATCTTAGGTGTAGTTATTGAATCTGGAGAATTTGGGTACCGCATTGGAACAGCTGTAGAAATGTTTACATGATATTTGTCGAGAAACTAAATTGAAGCTGTTAAAGACATATCTTTATTCGCAGCAACGGTACCTGAGCTTCAACTTTCACTATGGAACCAGTAAAAAACTTTCAAAATCTGGTGGTCAGGGGTTTCTTTCATGAAAATGCAAAGGGGGGTGCAGCACTTCTAAATGTAAATGTAAAAAGCAAAAGATGTTGTTCAATTCCCTATGCCATAATTCACTCACATGCTCAAACAAATGATAAAGAACTATTTTTGTATTTTGTAAATAAGGTTTATTTCATGATCATTGATGAACAATTCTATAGTGTGTTTTAATGCTTTTTTATAACAAAATCCATACTATAAATTTTTGTATAAGTTATAAGTGAATATTAGTCAAATTTTGTACAAATTGTAATTTGTACAAACACTTTTTGTACAAATTACAATTTGTACATTTTTGTACAAATTACAATTTGTACAAAGTCAAAATACAAATTATGATATGTACAATTTTTTTGTACAAATTATAATTTGTACAAAATGATAACTTGTACACAACATATATAACAAATATCAATTCAATATCTTCAAGCATGACGAAAAAAAGTGTTAAAAATTGGTTATTTTAAGTGAATTTTTTAAGTCCAAGGACCATAACTCTGCATAAAATCATCAGACCCGAACAATATTCAAACTTGATCTGTAACTTGTCATGATAAAACAATACACCAAAAAAATCAATATCTTCAAGCATGAAGAAAAAAAGTGTGGAAAACTGATTTGCCGAACTGACGGATGGACAGATAGACAGAAAACTGATTTGCCGGACTGACAGATGGACAGACAGACAGACAGAGTGCAAACCTAAAGTCCCCTTTAACTTCGTCGGTAGGTGACTAAAAATATGAAGTTGTTTGCAGTTGTCAGATAAGAATACTTATGCCTTGTTTTCAGTGTCATTCATTGCAGGCAGGACAGATATTAGTACTTTTATAGGTTAAAGTCAACTGTATTTGATCATAACAATCATTTTAAAGACTCCATTGGAAATAATTAGACATACTTTCATGGGTTATCGTTGGAAGGATATCAACTTGAGATCGTTTTTAGCATTACTATATTTGTTTTATTTCATAATATTTAATCACACATATTTTTAAACAGTACTTGTATATAGTTGATATTAATCCCTAAATAAATTTTACTTTATAAATATTACTTAACAACAGCAATTTTAATGTTATAGTTATTGTACATTTTGTTTTTCAGAATAAGTTGTCTAATTGGGATGATTTTCTTCAAGTTCCATGTGGACAGGTGATAATTCCTTAATTATAAAAATCTACTTATTTCTCTTTATTTGTCTAGCATCATTATATTATGTTACTTAAAAAAAAAATTAACTTGCTTTTTACTGGATAATATTTTGTATAGCAATATGAAATACAGAACTCAAGATTTTTTTTGCAAAATGAAGTTTATGTTTTAAAAAATGATATGAAACATCTTCAAAAGAACATTTATCTTGGGTTAGAGCTGTGACATCCTCAATAAATCTAATATTCACAAATCATTTGTAGATTTTTTTCTAAACCCCAAAGCAAGGTCAAGTAAACAGTTATGCAAATAGTGTTAGTGTTAGAAAATAGTCTTTTTTCCTAAACATGTTTTAATAGTCTGTATTTGAAAACACAGTTAATTTATGCTATGATTATGTAATTAATGTTGCAGATGGAGTACAATAGATTTTGGCAACATTTGTTTTTCACAGTTTTACGTACCATTTGTTTTTTCACAGTTTTACGTATCATTTGTTTTTTCACAGTTTTACGTATCATTTGTTTTTCACAGTTTTACGTACCATTTGTTTTTCACAGTTTTACGTACCATTTGTTTTTCACAGTTTTACGTACCATTTGTTTTTCACAGTTTTACGTATCATTTGTTTTTATTATCCAGGAACATGGGGAATGTGATTACCAGGATCTCATGGGAGATAACTTTTATTTCACCCTTGAAGAAGAACAAAAAAAGGTAGGATACACAATATTTTTATGTTCACAAAATAAATATAGACTTCAAAGTGTGTTTCTAGAGCTTCACATTAACTAATACTAATATTAATTTATTTTACTAAGTATCTCTACATTTTTAAACTGTTCTTTTTTATAAAAAAAAAATAATAAAAAGGTTGCTTTTAACTTCCATTTTGATTTTCAAAATTGTTAACCTTTTCCTTCTTCTGAAATCTTTCCTAATTGATAGGACTACTTTTTTAACCTATTCTTTACTGTTAACACATTCAATAGCCACAAGTACTTTAATAAACATACTAATATCAGTTGTATTTAGATATATTTGTCTATATTGTTTACAGCCTGTATATACCAGACCGAGACAATCAGCAGTGATAGTAAGACATTTATTATTTCCCTGCTTTTAGCTTTCAGAGTTTGCTGAGAAGTAAAGTTATTGCTAAATATAATTGCTTTCATGTTTTTCTTTGCTAGTTTTTACTGTTGTGTTGATATGTCATGGTTTACTACAGACTGTTACAATGTCATAGTTTACTGTGGCGTTTCTATGTCATGGTTGCTGGTCAGTTTTTATTCCTAATTGGAAATTGTTAAATGTATGAAAAAAGCATGGTATTGATGTTATTTATAACACTGTATTGCTTTTATAGTTGTACAGAGGTGAATGCTAGATCAGATTTGCTTCAGTTAGTTCATCCATTTTGATTTACAACTACATCATACTACTGAGGCTGTTTGTCATTTGTTTGTTGCTGTATATCATTTATTACCATGGTTATAGGTTAGGGCTGCTAGAATTAATCCATCATTTTTCATTTTTGAAATGGACAGGTAACTGGATAAACAATATCATGGTATTGAGGTTTATATTAAAGACTATTTTTAAACAGAAAAGTGTATTTTCACATCAGCATGTTCATATATGATTGGACACTAAGTGTTATGATTCTTACAATATTAAATAAACAACTCGCTTCTGTGATGCATTGCCAAATTGACCAATTCTGTTTTGGGGGAAATGTCACAAAATGAGAAAATTTCATTTTGGATGTTAATATCAGTTTAATGAAGTTTATGTTTGAATTTTTTTTTAAATGTGGTTTCCTTGCCTTTTCCTTAAGAAATGTAACTTGCATGAGACGCTTAAGCTAGATTTTGTATAACTTGTTTTTAAACCAAATTCCCTTAAATCATTAGAATCATATATTTCACCACTATAGCACTCTTTCACTCTGAACTTGTCAAGAAATTCATTGGATCTAAATTTGGACTGTGTTTCAGCTAAAAAATACTAATTCAAAGAATTAAATGATGTTACTTGTTTGAGGCATTACATACCTTATCTATTTATGTGTTTATTAATTTCACAGAAATTCTTTAAGCATTCAACTTTTTTTTTGTCTTTTGTTATTTGTCCATTCACCAAAGAGCATGTACCGTTATATAAATTGATGATCACCAGGAGATTTTTTTTAAATCATTCATTACTTGTTTCCAAATCATATTAGTTAATTCATTTAATGTACCAGTAGCTAGTCTATATTTGTTTGGCAAAATATAAAGATATATAGAAATATAACTTCTTAAATGTGGGATCTACTCATTGTAATGTATTGTAGACCATGTAAATATACCATAAACACTATACACTTACTGTGATTTCCCTATAAAAGGTTAAAACAATTTTGTAATATATTTTAAGAACAACATTTTTTTTTATCTTGTTATAAAATGCTACTTTTTTTTATATGTATGGATAAATATTCACACACAGATTTTAGAAGTTTTTAGAGCCAAAAAAAATTTAGAAAAATGCACCATCACTCTAACTTATAAGTTTATTATATAAAAAAAAAGCCGTCTATTTATTTACCCAAAAGTTAGATGGGAATTGATAAACAAACTGTAATGACACAGGTATTATAACCAGTATTAATTAGTAATGACACCAACTCATAAAAGATATTTTTATTTTAGAAAGGAAACAGAGTTAGCAGAAATGTGCCTCCTCGTGCTGAAGGGAAGAAAATATCACAACCAGTGGCTCCATCTGTTGACAAAATACCACCTCGTCAGTCCCAGGTAATCCCAACCCCTGATAAAGTACCTACTCGTCAGTCGCAGGCAGCACCACCTATACCACAGAGAAACTACACTCAGTCACAGAATCATGATAGACAGTCACAAGTCAGTGGACGACCTTTACCCAAGCGACCTGACGAGGCTTATCAGAGACTGCTACAGAATCAGGTAATGGGCTGTTATACATAAAGGTCAAGATAGATTGTTATCAGAATGTTAATATTGCATGTGTATACATGGTTATGCTTAAGATTTGGGTGCTTTTTATTTAGGTGATTTGTTTAAAAAATGATATAGCTAAATTTGCATCCAGTTAAAGTGTGAGGCTGTCTGGTTTAAATGTATAATATAATTTTTTTATATATTTTAATTAAAATGATTTGCATAGCTGGTATCTGTATGTATACCATGTATACATTTTCTCCTGAGTAGGCCAGATTTTAATTCACAGAACACAATTAACCAACTCCAAATTCTAAGAATGAAAATATTATTAATATTATTTAATTTGATATGTTTTATTGTTAATGTCACTGAGTAAATCATACTTTTAAAGGAATATATTATTAACACTGACTATAGTATTATGCATTACATATTTTTTGTGTTTGTTGAATTACCTTATATTGGAGAAGAAAGAATACAGTGTAGATATACATGAAACACTTATCCCATGAAATATCAGAAATTCTGATGGTATTGTTATGTATCATTAATTAGGGATACTTGACATGTATAGTGATCATTCTGTCCGTCCGTCCGTCTGTAACAAATTGTGTCTGCTCTATATCTAGAGAACCGTTATAATTTCATACTTTATACTTGACATGTATATTAATCAACACGAGAGGGTGTGTCATAATGTTTGTACAACTTCCTAGTTCAAAGGTCAAGGTAAAATACTTTGGTTTCAGTTGACAACGCCATGTCCTATAGTAAAGATAGTGTCCGCTCTATATCTTGAGAATCGTTATGATTTCAAAGTTTATACTTGACATGTATATTAACCAACACCAGAGGGTGTCATAATGTATGTACAACTTCCTAGGTCAAAGGTCAAGGTAAAAAACTTTGGTTTCAGTTGACAACCTCATGTCCTATGGTAAAGATCGTGTCTGCTCCATATCTTGAGAACCGTTATGATTTCAAAGTTTATACTTGACATGTATATTAACCAGTCATAATGTATGTACAACTTCCTAGGTCAAAGGTCAAGGTAAAAAACTTTGGTTTCAGTTCACAACCCCATGTCCTATGGTAAAGATCGTGTCCGCTCTATATCTTGAGAACCGTTATACTTGACATGTATATTAACCAACACCAGAGGGTGTGTCCTAATGTATATACAACTTCCTAGGTCAAAGGTAAAAAAACTTTGGTTTCAGTTGACAACCCCATGTCCTATGGTAAAGATTCAAATTTTTTACCACAGGTTATTCACAGTGGGGCCCACAGAGATGGCTCCCATCTCAATGATGTCTAGTTTTTCAATGATTGAAGTTAGATACATAGCTAATGCTTATAAACAAGGGGTTTTCTTTGAATGAACCATCTTAAGGAATTACTAAAACTAAAAAAGTTTAATTGTTATAAACAAACAAAATTTCCTTCATATTTATCAACCCATGCATGAACTCAGACAAGATTTTTATTTTAATTACATCAATTTTTTTTTTTCTTTTCAGAATGAACAGCATGGTTATCATTGAAGAAATAGCTAGAGGACATATGTGTAGACAATCATAGAATATGTGTGTGTTGTACTTCATTATAATCCAGTATAAATGACTGCTGATCTACTTCCTTCAATCATACAAACATATATAAGCAGATTGAGCAAAACTGCATGTATATAGTAGAATTGAGCAGACTTGATTTTATTTGCTGTATATTTGTGGACCAGGATTCTTAATGGAAGCAATGTATAATCTATTGTCAGACTTGTTTACTAACAAATATAGAAATGTTCATTGCCAAGAGTATATGTTATAAAGATTCAAACATTCCTTGGATATTTTATTATTTACAAATTCTTCATTTGTTTATGAGCATGTCAATAAATTTCACAATTGATCCGGTTATCATTATATAATTACCTTGTCATGGACCACGTACCACTTCAGTTTACTGCTAAAGTCAAATAATGTCCAATATTGGAAATATCTGTTGTTGTGACCTGAAGGTCCATAAAGCTAGAATTTGATACCTTAGGAAACATTGTTTGTTTATCTGGGTTTTTTTTTGTTAAAATAAGAAACCTATGAAATTTTGCGAGATTTAAAATACTATATGTGTCAATTGTTTTATCAATCATAATTTGTAGTTTTATATATGAAAAAAACATTTATTAGAATCAACCTGTTCATCTGTCTGTCAATGTGCCTAGTAATTGCTACTCCTCCTAAACTAGAAGGATATTGATAACACTTTACACAGTTCAATACTAATATCGTTCCCCTGTCTTACTAGTTTAAGGGGAGGTAATAAGTATACTAATAGTATTGCGGAATTGGGGGCTCCTTTTGTGTGTTCATTCACAGTTCCATTTTATTTTTTACTTTAATCTTGAATAAGTTGGTATATTTAAGTTTCAGATTAACATACAAATATAAAAAGATTGAACTTCATGTCAATAAGCTGATGATTAATTTATATCTAACTGGAAGTGTTTAACGACCTTGACTGGATGTACATCCCTCGCACGGTCGGTAAATTTATATCGATTATATATCCTAGTATTTATATAGTGTGGCAGTTAGGGAGCTACCATTTGATTTGTATGGGGGGGCTAGGATGAAATTTGAAAAAAAGGCAGGACAGGAGTTAAGAAAAAGGCAGGATGAGCAACTTTGCAAAAAAAAAAGGCAGGATGACAATGTAAAAAAAGTCAGGATAAACTAATAAAATAAAGTGAAACTGTGAGCTACTGCTCACTGATGATACCACCACTGCAACTGGATAATTTTAAAAGTGTAAAAATATGTAAGTGTTCAGTAAACAGGAAGTTGTTGAGTGATGAATCTGAAAACGCATCACATGGTATAGCTGACTTATATAAACCCTGAAACCAAATTTCAGAAAACCTTATGATGTAGTTCCTGAGAAAGATGCAACAAAAAATATTCATGGGACGGACTGACGAACAGAGGTAAAACAGTATACCCCCACTTTTTTTAAGCGGGGGTATAAAAAAGGCAGGACCGATAAGTGAAAAATAAAAGGCAGGACAGAGATAATACAACTAAAAAAAAATGCAGGACAAAATTTTTCATCCTAGCCCCCCCCCCCATAAAAATCAAATGGTAGCTCCCTTCCTTTAGAAATCTTCATCTGCATAATAGCATCAACTGTAATTGGAAATAAGTTTATATTTCATTTCACAAATATTTGGTGCCGATTCTAACCTGTAATTATATCCTGTTTTTAGCCAAACATTTTTAGTGTTTGCAGTTGTTATAGCCTCTGATAAATGCATTGTCCCAATTGTCAAACATTGTATTGTTAATGTTCACCATATAAATTATAGATAAATATACATTTGATGCGTTTTGTTTTTAATATTTCTAATGAAAATTTGATGTGTATTGTGTATATAATATTTCTATGTTATTTTGATGCTCTTTACATCCTTTAATATCAAAGTTTTTGTTGAGGCATAATAGGTTCATTGTTTTATCCAAGCCTCTTGTTTTGAAAAAGAACAGTTATTTACTTCTTATTTTCCAAGTTCATTTGTTACACATTTGAGTAGCGGTAGGAGAGGGTGTCATCCCAAATTTTAGAAAAAAATAAAAATTCTTTACTACGGATACCGAAAAATTAATCATTAATTCCTGAGTCTCGATAAGTGAAAATCATGAATTTCCATGAAAATAAAAGCCCAATTCTGAATTCCCATGAAAACAAATACCCAACCCTGAATTCCTTCAAAAATAAATGCCCAATCCCGATGTCCAGAAACATGTCCTTCCACCCCTCACTTTTGAGTGCCAACTATCATCAACGAAGATTGACAGTACTGTCAGATGCCAAAAATAAAACCACCTTTTAAAAATATAATACTCAACAAAATAAATTTAATGCATTATTTGACCAGCATTAGTCATACAGATTCAACCTTTGAGATTGTAAAAAGTTTTTATTTAAATGTTGTGATTGTTCAGTTTTGCTGACATATTTTTATCCATGTCAAAGCTTAGCTACAGTGGCAAACATTATAGTTTTGCAATACCTGTCTTAGTTCAATGCTTGTTGAACAGGCAGCATCAAGTGTTTCACTTTGTTCAACTTGTTAAAAACATAACAATGATAGTGTTATCATAATGTGTAATGATTTTATCATAATGTGTAATGATGTTATTCAGCTTATATGAATGTATGTGTGCAATCATTTTGTTATATTTATGTACATTAATTTATTCGATTTATATAGTGTGGCAGTTGTTTTAAAAATCTTCTGCATTAAAGCATTTACTGTTAAACAATAATGAATAAATTAATATTTCTAAACACATTTATTTAAGATATATGCAGGTCATATATTTCACCTTATCATGAGACACATCTGTGGCTTCTGTGATTTGTAGATATATACAACAGAAGAATGGTATTAGAAGTTAATAGAGAAGATTTATATATTATATTGAGTGTACAGGGTTAGTGGCCACAAGTAATATATTATATCAAATCTTGGCTATAAATCTTTTACCATAAGGGAAGGTCATTTGCTGTTGGTCTTTTGCTTACTAATCGGACCACATGAGGTTGGACCTGTTCTCTTATTTTATATCTACTTTCATTTTTATTTTATATCTACTTTCATTTAGTATTTTGATACATAAGATATTAAATTGTTATATTTGTAATAAACAGGCATATATAATAAAGGTTCTTTAAAGCAAATGCAGATTTGCTATTTATTCAAATTTTTCATTTATTATAAAAACAAGATGTGGTATGGTTGCCAATGAGACAGCTATCCACCAAGAGACACAATGGTGTAGAAGTAAGCAACAATAGGTCATTGTATGACCTTCAACAATGAGCAAAACCCATACAACACAGCAAGCTACAAAATGCATCAAAATGACAAATGTAAAACAATTCAAACGAGAAAACTTACAGCCTGATTTGTGTACAAAAGTATCAACTAAAAACAAGTGACAACCACTTAACTACAGGCTCCTGACTTGGGACAGACACGCAGTGTGTGGTGGGGTTGAACAATTTTGCAGGCCATTGTCTGAAATATAATTATGTACAATCTAGCCTGTTGGACCAATCTTGGCAGAGATGTTATTAACAATGGGCTGACCAAGTTATGTTATGCTCCATGAAAACATTATGGTGAGAACATAGCCCTACTTTTCAAATCTGTACAGTACAAATGATAATTAATAATTTTTTTGAAATTGACAAGTTCTACTGACTAAAGTACAAGTATTATTTTTACTATGATGGCTACTACCATTCAGAAGTGATGCTGTTTGCAAAAGGAAAATTCAATTTTGTAAATTCTCTCTGCAGTAAATGGATAAACTTTATATTCTGCTTTATGAATGATGTCCTTCCACTTAATAATTCATTAATTTTGAGACTTAAGTTGACAACATATTTCCCCTTGAAGTTAAAATTAAACAGCTAGGTGTGCTAATATATCTCGACTTGCACTTGGAAATCAACAAAAAGGGAGTGGTTATTGAGAACTCAACTTTATGATAACAGAGATGACTAATTTTTCTATTGTGTACTATAAAAATTTATGTATCAGCTAGAAGTTGTATACTCCCATTATCTTGGTGCAACAGCACATGGAGTATATGTCACTAGTTGATACTATATTCCAGTTTGTATTTTTTATTACAATTAACAGCACATTGTTTCTATATACAAACAAACTTCTGGACCAAGGGTTCTTCATGGTAAAGTTTAGTAATCACTTTAAAAAATGTAAGAACGCTATCATGACAAAGCTAGTTGACCGTTACACTTAATATCTGTGTCATAGATCAAATATATTTTTCAGTCCTAGCCACAATAAAGTCCCCCTTTCCCAGTTTATGGCATCAATAAACTTTTACTTGTAATAAGTAACAAGACAGGTGCAAATTGTGGAGCAGGAACTACTTACACTATGGAGCATCGGAGTTCATCAAGATTTTGGTGGATTTGGTTGCTGAATTTGTAGTAATGTGTGAACAGTTAGTTTTTTTTATTAAATAAAAGATAAGGGTACTTCAATGAGACGTGAATCCAACAAAAATTAAGACTCCTTGTAGTTAACCTATTGTCTCCAACAATAAATAGTGTCTATATAATATGTACCAAATAGCTCTCAATTATTCAGCATTACAATCTTGTATATGTGGTGTGATGTCAATTATTCAGCATTACAATCTTGCATATGTGGTGTGATGTCAATTTATTCAGCATTACAATCTTGCATATGTGGTGTGATGTCAATTATTCAGCATTACAATCTTGCATATGTGGTGTGATGTCAATTTTTCAGCATTACAATCTTGCATATGTGGTGTGATGTCAATTTATTCAGCATTACAATCTTGCATATGTGGTGTGATGTCAATTATTCAGCATTACAATCTTGCATATGTGGTGTGATGTCAATTATTCAGCATTACAATCTTGCATATGTGGCGTAATGTCAATTATTCAGCATTACAATCTTGCATATGTGATATGATGTTCAGACAAGTTGTAAAACAAATTAAACAGGATATTCAAAATTTGATAAAAAACACATAAAAACTATCAGATACAACTTCAGACAACCACTAGGAAATCCAGTCGGAAAAGGCATATGAACATCTGGCAGGGATGAACTTTTCATTTTAGCAAACAACTCTCCCCTCTTAATCTCATCAGGGGAAAAATAAAAGGTATATGTTTTACATACCACATAAAATCTTCCAAACATTATTAAGATAGTATCTTAAACTAAAAGGTAGTAAAAGGCAGGAAAATGGTCTTGATGGATGCGTATTTGGCATGAAAAGTATATACTACATTTAACAACTGAAGTTCTTTCTTTTAGTATAACATATAAACTACCTATGCACAAGTATAAAAAAAATATTCAGTATACATTAAAAGTTGACAATAAATTTACAACAAGTTCATATAAACACGTGTTAATAGAGAGTGTAAAAGGTTCATAAAAATTCCAGTTTACTGTAGTCATTCTCATCCACTTCCTGTAAACAAAACATGGCTGTGCAAATTGTATCTGCAATAACTGTACTTTCGTGTTGATTTCAATCAACTTTAATGCATGAGCATTTTGTACAAGCTATTTAAAAATGGCTCCTTTGTAAAATTTCAGTTCCTGCATGCTCTCTTTGATGTCATCAAGTGCTCTAAATAAAATAAAATCATTGATCAATATTTAATTCAACAATGAATGATAAAAAAAATGTGTGCAAGTTCATTTTTCAGCTAATGTTCTGTTCAATAACCGAGCACATGTGCTATCATCTCTAAATAATGTCAAATTAAAGGTTGCATGCACATGAATCAAATAAGGTCAAATTATTGTCTTGCAAGTCAATAATGTATCAGCAATGTTTTTGGACTTGTCTAGATGAAATTGAATCAAACACTGCTGAAAAAGAACAATTATACAATATTCCAATCTTATAAATGGTTGAAGCCAAGAAAAACATACTTTAATTATTTCAACTTTTATTGTCCAGATAGAAGTAATCCCCTTTAACATATCCAAACTGAAGACGGTGAACATAGATCATTCTTTTTCACATTTGAATTGTTTTATATTTCCTCTTTCATGGGCTTTTATAGCTTGCTATGGGGTATGGGATTTGCTCATTGTTGGAGACTATGATGACGTATAGTTTCTAACTTCTATGTAATTTGGACTCTGGTGGAGAGTTGTCTCATTGGCAATAATTCCACATCGTATTTTTATATCGAAAAAGTATACACAGCAAAATGGCTATTTTGAATTTTTTCATTTCAGTGTCAAGTTTTTATTGAGGTCATAATGTAATACTATAATTAGGTGTAATACCTGTGAGCTATTTTTTTCTTTGGTGCCTTTTGGTATTCTTCTGGATACCAATGCCTGTATCAGAAAAATAAACCAAACATATAATACATACTTATATAATGTTTAAATTTAATTCTTTATTTATTTAAAGAGGATTGTTAACAGCCAGAAGCTACATGTGGATCTCATCTAATAAATAACATTTCTATGCTATACCTTTCAAATAATTTTAGTATAAAACTAAAATTAGGTGATGTAGTGATTGCAGATACACCCCCCTCGGCAGAACTCTTGAAAGGAATCCAAAAAATCTTGAAATTTAACTTTATATAATGAGATTTTTAAAAATTACAATGTAAGGGATGTAACTCTTGATCAGTAAATGTCCAATCTGGGAAAATCATATTTTATCTGTAGTTTATAATCCATAACATTATGTTAAAATTCTGTAAAGCAATCATTCCATTATCATCAGAACCTTTTATTTAAACATTCTGCAAACAGAGATTTTACTTAGAAACATTATTTGCATACTACATTAATATTCTCTCCTTGCATCCCATTTTCTTCAATTACTGTACATGTGTACATAACAATTTGCTACAGATTCCTCTTCTGTGTTTGCTTATTAGGATAGTTCCTGTCAATCATCCTAGATGGATAATGTTTACTTTATACTACTGGTAACAATTTCCAAAAAAGGAAGTCTGATTTATAACCATGTTAATGACCCCTTTAAAGGGGCATTAGCTGTCAAATTCGTGTTCACCGATTTGACTCAAATTCTCATATTTGATATATAAAATACTGAAACGTATATCCAAATAACAAAAAGTCTACAATAAACAATTATGCACGGGACTCGATAATGTGTATCAACATTAACGTGTGTATTTTAGTCTAGACGCCATCTAGACAGCCAACGGTCATATAACCCGATATAAACATAAATATAATTACAAATAGATATAGAACACGTGCAATAGGATTTTTCTAGGTCTGTTTGATTTCATGTTATAGATTAAAAAAATATGTTAATCATCGTTTTTACCTGTGAAAGAATAATTTTGTGGATGGAATCAGTCAACTTTATGGTTCATCCATTTTTTTACTTTTAATAGCTAAATACATGTGTAACCCATCTCCAGCTAAGGGGTAAAATTGAAGGTCACATGAACACGGATTCAAGAGGTCGAATTATTAACTTGCAAGTGAATAATTCAGTAGCACTGTTTCTTATCTTGTTTTGACAAAATTAAACCAAATTGGCTGCTAAAAGCGAATTATTATTTCACTATTTCACTTTCATTAATCATTGAACAAAAAAAATCATATTTTAATTTTTTTTTTATCTTGTAGCTAATGCCCCTTCAAGATTAAATAAACTTGTGCAACCCATCTCAAGCTAAGGGGTTAAACTGAATGTTACATGAATAGGAAACCAATTGAGGTTAAATTATTGATTTACTAGTCAATAATTCATCACAGATGTTTTTTTAAGTATTTTGACAAATTTGGGACAAACTGACTGCTTATAACAAAACATTATTTTAAAATTCTGCTTTTATTAACACTTGATACAAAAAGAATTGTATTTTGATTATTTTTTCTAAATCGTAGCTAATGCCCCTTTAATACAAAATTTTTTGTCAGAAAATAAATGAAATAAACCATTTATTGTAGATATATACTTTTAGTAATGAGAGTTTATATCAAAACACATACTGAATACTTATCCATAAAATATGGGAACTAAAAAATGAATCATATATATAATACTTTAAACTGTTAAATATAGTAAGACTTGTTAAATAGTTATCTAAACATGTAACTGATGTATGTTTGCTTTGGATAGATTTTACTGTAACTAGGAAACGATGGATGAATTTATGTGGTGTTTACTGTCCAGTAGCAAATATTGCATACATATTAGGACGAAGCACATGTGTATGTGATAGAATATGAACCCTGCTTTGTATTAGAATGTCATGTTGAGCTGGATTTTAATGTTTTAAAAGGTTACAGTCCAATGGATCACAGGTAATCATACCCATACATTTTATTCTGACACTGAACCGATCAGTCTTGCTCTTACTCCTAAATCAACCTGCTTCAAGGAGAGGCAGCAAACACCAATTTTCAAGTCACTGGTTTGACCCAGCGAGGGATAGATCTCTCAACCTCCTGCACTCAAGGAAGCACAAGACCATAACACCAAAGATGTGGTTCACATGAAAACCAGAAGAACTAGTAAGTAATGAACATTGTATCCAACTGATTAAAATCGTATCTTTATTTACTTTCGGACTCATCTTCTCAGAAAATATTTCACACCTAACATACCGACAAAGTTCTTTAACTGTGCTGACATCGACGATTCTGTAATGTAGATGATTTAAGAATTTTGGCATGTATTTGTTTAGAAACATTCTATCAGCATGGATTGAGTTTCCAGCAAGTAAAGCTGTTTTCTCTGTTGTATGCTCCTTGACAAAGTTCAACATGTTTTTTTCTGCTTCTTCTAGAGATATGTCACTTTTCCGTACGGCATCTGTTAAACCAGACTGAAAAAAAAAAACCAAAAGCTATTACATTTTATGATTTATTTACAGTTTAATGAAACTGTTTGAGCACTAGTATGCCTATTGTTCACGGATGTTAATAAAATAATTTATAGTATGAACTTTGAAATTAACAATTAAAGGCTCTATTTATTATTTTATGAAGATAAGAAAAAAAACATATTAAAATGAAATAAAATCAATTACAAATCCTTATACTCCTGTGATTACGAATGATAATCAACGCTAGTAAGTTACAGTCAGGATTCAAAATTAAATTCAGAAGTGAGTAGTAATCTTTAATTAGACCACACTGCATTTGGCATAAAATTGAAAAGATAATGTGTTGTAGTTTCCATTTAATCATGTACAGTTCCTAAGGAATACACACATTTTATGTGTGGTAAAAAAAAAATTCATAAATCACTTGTGTTTAGGGTTTCCCTGCCAACCCTATTTTTTCACGCCTTGGTGTCTCCATTTCAATTTTTACTTGCAATTTTTGATATGAATCCTGACAAAAGTGCAGATGGTCCCATATACTGATAACTCAAGATAAAATGTTCAGCAAAATAAAAAAAATTGCTTCGCTGAGCGCAGCTGGATACGACCGCAGAGGTCCAACCCTGAACAGTTTGGGCAAAAATGGACACAATATTCGCACTTGATACAGGTCTGAATTTGGATTGTAATTAAATATTTGACACATTATAGGTTTCTGACACAGAATAACTGTAGTCAAAGAACTTAGAATTGGTTGTATGATTTGAATTTATATTCAATTTTTTGCTTTTGTGCAATACACTATGATGTTGTGAAATGACCACCCCCACCCCCCCCCCCCCCTCCCTTTTTTCCCCCAAAAAAAATTCTTTCCCTCAAGATATGGTCATAATCTCAATTCAAATTTCCAATGGAGTTTGCAACCATAATTACCCATTTAAATACATCATAAAAGTCTTAAAATAGAAAATGACATACATAATCATGGCTAAAATTAATATTCCTTAATCAGCATTTTTAAATAGTAACGTCTAAAAAATAAGTTGACAGCTAATCACCTCAAGACAATACAACATTTTTAAACATAATTTAAAAGCAGTGTATGGGAGGTAATCCGAACATAACATTGTACTTTTTTTAATTGTTCATTAACCAGGAAAACCTTGTTTTTCCCCTTTTTTGCCCCTAATTCCTAAACGGTTTGAGCCATAACCCCCAAAGCCAATCCTAACCATCCCTTTGTGGTATGGAAACTTGTGGTATAATTTCAGAGAGATCCAAACAATGTTCCACAAGTTATTGTCTGGAAACTAGAAAAATGCTTATTTGGGCCCCTTTTTGGCCCCTAATTCCTAAACTGCTAGAACTATAACCCCCAAAATCAATCACAACCTTCCTTTCGTGGTTATAAACCTTGTGTTTAAATTTCATAGGTTTCTATTAACATTTACTAAAGTGATTGTCCGGAAACCAAATGTCTTCGGAAGACGACGACAACGACAATGTGATACCAATATACGACTGCAAAATCTTCAAAATCGAAAGAAAAGTTATTGATGTCTGATAAATTTACCATTTTGAGTCATTAAAATCATGGGTGGTTTACCCATTTAAAAGATCCTTTCCTGCATACATTGTACCTTACTTATACATTGTATCTATAAATGAAACAGTTTACTAACTGGGAACAGAGAAAATACTTCTAACAAAAACAGAACAGTTTACCTCTCCATGATGTTGTTTACACCACTCCCCCATGTTATCTAAAACTTCATCTGGTTGATTAATAACTAAATTAGGACCCTGCAAAAACAAATGCATGTGTTATTCATAAGTTATAACATAACTGAATGCAATAAATCTTAATCTAAAATTAAACAATCTTTCATTAAAAAACATAAACTTGATTAGATTTACATTGAATGGAAAAGTTTAACATTGCAATGTCTGTATCAAAAAATATCATTGATTAATCAAATACAAACTACTAGTCTTTGGGAAATAGGCTCTTCAACTCTATCATGTTAAATTCAATACCTCTGCACACTTAACAAAAACAGATAAACAGAACTTTACACAATCGTGGCACTGTAAAATTTGAAAATTTATCTACCTTGATAGAATTTATCTCTCTTTAACAATGATAAACATATTTGTTGAAAGAAATATATGTGCTTTTTGTCAGGCTGTGTATGTTTTTTATTTTGTTTTGCATCAAGTCAAAGTTTTATAACTTCCATCCAGCAAGGTAGAAAAACACACACAAAAATAAAAACACACATTATCTATTATAAACTACTCGCCAGTATGTAAAGTTTTCATTTTGAACCACATTATGATTAACATCATTCATAAGACTCAAGTTCAAATGTCCCTTTAAAAAGTTATTCTTTTATTTTCAAAACATTCACTGACATTTTCTGAAATATAGTTTTTGTATTTGGTTTTTATTAAACTTAAGACCATCAAAAACCTACAAGCAAATCGGAGTCAAAACACAGAAAACTTTGATCTAACCTACGAATGATTGCTGGTTGTTGATGTGACAATTACACAGTATATTTACCTCAGCTACAACATTGAGTTCAGCATCTGTAACAAGACATGCCATCTCTATAATGTGTTCCTTTTCAATATCTAATCCAGTCATCTGCAAAAAATATCAATACCAATTTTCTATATTATCATTTTTTTTCTGATTTTCTCTATTTATTCACCATGTCAATAAAACTTTGTTGATTTTTACTCCATTTTGGATAACATTATGACTGTAAATTTTAGTCAATGAAAGAAAATCTTACATAAAGATTGCATTAGAATTTGTATTCAGACTACACTTGTGCATATTGTCAAACTTGTTTTGTTCTTGTCAGGATGAATAGCTGTTTGCCAAGATGTTTCCATACAGAATTTGTTTAGAGTGTAATGGATGTGATTTGATAGTCTTCCTTTAAAAGTTTCAAATTAGTAATTTCTTAATTAAATGTTTATTTTTTAATTTTAATTCAAACATTCTACAACACAAAGTAGCTTTAGTGATTTAACTATAAAAGTATTCAAATTTCATGTCTCTATATATATATATTTGATGAATATTCATTTATTCAATATTTCTTCAATACTGTCTTTTAATATATTTTAGAAAGTGATAAGTTTTTACTTGAAACATAATCAGAAGTTTTTTTTTATAATGAATTTTCTTTATTGTAACAAATAGACTAGCACAACATGTATGAACAAAGGTATACAGAATGGCATATTCACACAAAGGAAGTATTAAATAATTAAACAACAATTGAATATATGATGGTGCAACAATAGGTTGAAAATAAATTCGAAATTTATTATTATTATTCATAATCAGAAGTTGCTCCGGTTTGATTCCACTCCAGTTATAAAACAGCAACTATATTTGCCGTATTTTTAAATGATTTTTTTAATTCTAAATACAATTGCATTTACTTTAGAAACTTAGTTTTTGAATTACTATTTTAATTGAATTCATTTTGTTTGCAAACTATTACTATTTAATTACATTTCATTTTTGAACTTCACTTTTGAAATACTCTTCTTTTTTTGTTTCATTTTACTATGTTTTATTTGAATGTTGTACATTTGTAAATAAATTGTTGAGTTCTATTTGATTTGCGTCTCTGTTCAGCCAAAATCTGATATCAGGTATCCCGATGATCGCATAGGGACGAAGTACTTGCCACTACAAGTTCTGGGAGGTGTCAACACTGACCCCCTCCTGTTACAATAGTATTTTGCAGTGTTAAAGCAACTGATGTTGACTTTATTTAATAATGGCAAGAAAGGCATTTGTAAAATCTGCAAACAGACGAACAGTAGAGTGTGTTGGTATGACATTTATGTTGTATAAAAACAGACTAGGACCCAAGACCAAGACAACATTCTCTGTTCTTTGACCACTACCGCTCGTTTGCCCTCAGAGGCTCTGATAAAGTTTTTTTGTGTTAGTCTTGAATGTTTTTTAATTTTAGTTCATTTATATGTTTTGGAGTTTAGTGTGACCTCCATTCTCACTGAACTAGTACACATTTTGTCTAGGGGCCAGCTGAAGCCCGCCTCCGGGTGCAGAATTTTCTCCCTGTATTGAAGACCCATTTGTGGCCTTCGGCTGTTTTCTGCTCTTTTGTTGGGTTGTTGTCTCTTTGACACATTCCCCATTTCCATTCTCAATTTTATTTGATTCAGTCATGGACTTCCATTAGTCCAAATAATTATGACGTCTATGAAGTTATTTTAATTTTTTGCTGTGAATTCTAGCTTCACAAAATTTAAAATAGATTGAAAGACCTCATAATTATTTGGACTAGGATAGCACTCTGAATGCCAAAAAATTGTTCACCAGATTTCAAATTTTATAGATCTTTATAGATAAGATTAGATTCTTTATTAAGATAACTAATAGTACATTAGTGTTCTCCATTACAAATCATATGATAATATACAAAACAACATTTCAAAGTTTCACATGTAGTATATATATAATATTATCGCTATTTTACGAATGTTTCCTTTGATCTTGTTGACTGATAATTCCCGTTCTCAGCGGAGTTGAGTGATATGAAAATTATCGCTAGAAACTAAGGGAACATATGCCGTTGTCAAGGAAATTAACAATGTCTTCATAGGTAAAATAGCGATAAACAGATTAACATTGGTCATCTCAACTCGATTGCTTTTCTCGCTTTCCACGTACCGGCTCAAGCGAGAAAATCAATCTCGTTGAGATAACCAACGATAATCTATAAATAATACAATTGTACCCATAATTTTAAGAATTGTTTCTTATTTATAATGCATCTCTAATAAATTTGTATAAATAATTACATTCAGTAATATTTTGTGGATTAAAAAGTTTAGAAACTGAAAAATAATTATTATGTGAATCTTTCAAATCTAAACCATAAGATTGGAAAAAAGTTTGCCTTATATCTTTATATCTATCACAAAATGATATAAAAAAATGTTCTTCTGTCTCTACTTCAGTGCAAAATTTGCAAAAACGTTGTTCTGATGGAATTTTGGGTTTATTATATCTACCCCGTTCTATATATAAACAATGAGCACTGATACATATTTGTGTAATTTTACTTTTTATATTTTTGGTAAGATTGGTTTGAAGATAGGAGGGAACAAAATTTGGAACAAAAATATTACTGAAAAACATCAGTTTACTGTCCACAGCTCCTGATTTGATTTTTTGTGGTTGTGAGTCAGATTGTTGATTATAGTATCTTATTAGACTATTTTTAAAAACACTATTATTTGTCAAATTTTTTGTATCAAGTTTAAGTACTTTAAATACTTTATTTAGGGTAGAAAACCAGCATTTTGAGTTTTCTTGAGATAATTCTTGATCTGCAGTAAATGCACTATATAATATTCTATCTCTATTTATTTTAAGTAGTCTCATATAATAGTTATACATTAAACATAATGAGAAAATCAACATTGGATTCCTGTTACATTCAAGTCTACTAGCCATATTTGATGACTGTCTTTTGACTCCCAGAATAGATTTCAACATCTTGTGTTGTAATTTATCAATTGGTAGATTGTCAAAATTATTTAAATTTATGTTATAATCGGATAACCATATTTCATTACCATATGTGAAAATAGGTTTAATTAGACTATCAAAAGTATATATCTCAATAATATCAAGTAATGCAGTTTTACAGGAGCAAACTTTCTATCTACAAAAAAGAGGATAGAGGATATTTTGCATTTTGCATTGCTTTATTATGTATGTATCTGTATGCCCCACAAGGGCTCCTTATTGGAAATAAAATATAATCGATTCAGTGTCCATATTGGCATATACTGACTACTGTGCATACACCGAGCGATATATGGTCATATATATTTACACACCTCCAAATCGACCCAAACAAATCTTTTACTTTTGTCATCATTGACAAGCTTTGGTTTCTTCGTCGGTGACGCATCTCCTCCGTTTGAAGACATATTTCTGTAAATATTGCAAAAATAACGCCGTGTTATACTGGCGGGAATCTTGTATATAAAATTCATTGACAGACTGGATAAAGTACGAGGAATTCCGTATGGAAATTACTTTCGGTTTCGATTTCATATCGAAAGTACTTAACTATAAATAGAAAAGCGCGGGAAACGTATTGTTATACAATAATCTCCTATGTTGTGGTATTTGTTCATGTCTGATATTTGCATTTAATTCTCAATTAATATTTGCACAGGTACTTGGGGACAGAACAATTGTTTTGCTTTTCCCCCAAGAAATTCGTTTTTTCTGTTAATTTTAGTTATTTTCGTGTTTTTTTTCACGTTTTAAAAGTGTTAGGCGCAACTTTTTGGAAGTTTTGGTCCTCGGTGCTCTTCAGCTTTGTACTTGTTTTGGCTTTCAAACTTTTTTCATCTGAGCGTCACTGGTTGGTCTTGTGTGGACGAGACGCACGTCTGGCGTATTGAATTTTAAGCCTATAGTACCTTTTGTTAGCTATTATTCGTGTGTTTCTTTGTCCTATATGTTCTCCCATTTATTTGTATTGTGGTCCTGTCATGTGATGTTGTCGTTTTGGTGTTGTGTTTGACGTTGCCATAAAAGCGGGAGGTTTGGCATGCCACAAAACCAGGTTCAACCCACCATTTTTTTATTAAAATGTCCTGTACCAAGTCAGGAAAATGGCCATTGTTATATTATAGTTCGTTTCTGTGTGTGTTACATTTTAATGTTGTGTTTTTGTTGTGTCGTTGTTCTCCTCTTATATTTGATGCGTTCCCTCAGTTTTAGTTTGTAACCCGGATTTGTTTTTATCTCTATCGATTTATGAGTTACGAAGCATTGGAATATGAGATAAGGGATGGATAAAGACCCTGCCACGTCCGATCTGTGATTTTGTATGATGTTTTTTCTGCTTTGTATCGATCTGATGAGTTAAACCTTTTTCATCTGATTTCATAGTTTGATGTTATGTTGTGCTGTTACACCACTGTCCCAGGTAAGGGGGGTTGAGCGCTCATAAACATGTTTATCCCCACCACATTCTTTATGTGCCTGTCCCAAATTAGGAGCCTGTCGGGGGTTGAGCGCTCATAAACATGTTTATCCCCACCACATTCTTTATGTGCCTGTCCCAAATCAGGAGCCTGTCGTTTATTGGTTGTCATTGGTTCATGTCTGTCATATTTGTATTTCGTAAATTGTTTTGTTATAAATTATGGCGTTAGTTTTCTCAATTGAATTGTTTCATATTTTTCATGTCGGGGCCTTTTATAGCCGACTATACGGTATGAGTTTTTCTCATTGTTGAAGGCCGTACGGTTGCCTATAATTGCTTACATCCACTTTATTTGAATTTGGGTGGATAGTTGTTTCATTGGCAATCATACCACATCTTCTTATTTTTAATATAATGTCATTAAAGATGTGTATAAACAAACTAATTTTGAGAGATTGGTCGTTATCCATTTTTTCTAGAAACAATATACAATATGTTAAAATACTGGAAATATTTAGGAAAAAACATAGTGATAGATTACTATCTGCATCGATGCAGGAATCCTCAGAGTTACATGAGCAGGGCAAATTATCATGGCTAGGAAACATCCTCTCAATTTTATTTTTTTTACATCTAATAAAGATACTTACAAATTCTCAAAATATAAATTTAAAAAAATATTTTTTTCACAGTTGAGATTACAATTTATAACTAATTAGAAAATTGAAATATTTTCTGATTTGAGAGATGGTTATAAGAAAAAAAAATATGCGTACATATAGATTGTTTAAATCTCAATTTAAATGTGAGCCATATATTTAAATTAAATAATGAACAAAGACATATATAATCTCTATATTTCGACTAAGTGCGCATAAATTAGCAATAGAAAATTTAGATGTGCATGATAGAAAATGTCCACTTTGTAAAAATAACATCGAAGATGAAATACACTTTTTACTTAAATGTCCAAAATATGACAAAGAGCGCAAGCAAATTTTAGCATATATAGAATAACGGGTGCCTAATATAAAAGCATTAACTGAAGAGTCTAAGTTTGTCTGGCTTATGCGCTATGAGGATCCCAAGATTATTAAACCTTAAAAGGAATATCTAGTCTTACTATTTAAAAAAAAGACAGGAATTCCTACAATTATAGTCAATTGATAGTTTTTTCATATGAAATTATAGTAATCCTTTATTACAACTATAGCTAAAAGTGGCAGGTGGGTTTAAATTGTTCCAGCTTGTCGGTATTATGAAACTGGGTTACTGTACTTAATATATTCAGTTCATCTGATTTTATAGCTGGTTTTGATTGAAAGTTTAGACTTTGATTTGTTGTTTTTTTTTTGGGGGGGGGGGGGGGGGTTTCATCTTCCAATTGTTCATTAAATCATTGTAATCATTTCAATCGTTGTATATAGATTTAATGTAATTATTCAGCTCAGCTTTGGGCACTGTGACTAGCAATAAAACACTATTCTATTCTATGTTATAATGAACCTACCCATCTGTGTTTTACACATTATCGCTATTTGTCCGCCATTACCGGACTTCACAGAGGTTCCCGTAAAATTTTGAAGGCACAAGAGACAATGCCTGACGAGGAGCGTAGCTTTAATTCGACACCCCGAAATTCCGACAGACTGTTAGTCCGACGGTCCAATAGTCTGACGGTACGATAGTCCGACAATCTGTTAATCCGAAAGTCCGATGGTCCGACAGAAGTCGCTCTTCACGAAACTGTGCTGCGGCAGATGATAGATCTTGTTTTCACATAAGCTTACTAGTATACTGTCGAAATGCAAACAGTTTTTTAAATTTCAATAAGTGGAATGCGTTGTTATGGGATCTCATACTGTTTGAATGATAATTAAAGATTTCATTCCTGTTCACATGCAAAAAAAAAAACTCATAAAAGAAACCAGGCTTATAACTTTGTACGCCAAGAGCGCGTTTCGTCTACAAAAGACTCATCAGTGACGCTCGAATCAAAAAAGTGTTAAATGCCGAATAAATTACGAAATTGGAGAGCAATGAGAACCAAAAATTTCGTAAAGTTTTGTCAAATACAGCAAAGTTGATACCGAGGATGTCTGATAACATACATGTGCGTACATGTGATGCATTTTGTAGTTGAATGTGAAAAAGATGAAAAAGTCACTCATATACGAGTCGAACCACGGGCACTTAAGTCTTGTCTCTATATACCTTTATACAAACGTTAGCCAACATTTGGACTGATGCTTGTAAAAAGTATATGCATTTATCATATATTTAGCTCCATATGAGGGGGGGGGGGGGACCGCGACCCCTGCCCCCTTCTGTATAGTGCATTTTGCCCATTAGTGCTTTCAAATGTTTGTCATTCTGATAAGACTCCTTTGTTGTAAATCAACACAACATTTCATGTATATTTGTGCTTTTAGATGAAAGATATTAATTTTTCTTAAAATTTTGACTTTGTTCTTCTGTCAGATTATTTGTTTGATAAATGACTTGTCTTATGAAGAAATTAATTTACACAGGATTCAATGTAAATCTAAAAGTTCCCCTTTATGCTGTTGACACGGGTAGGATAGTTATATTTACGGTTTCTTCGACTTATGAATTATGATGGTCCCTTTGGTAGCTTTTACAATATCACTGAAATATCCAATTACAACGATAAAATATAGAGATTTTGCTAACTTTTTTCTATATTGACCTGTTTGTCATTTCTCCCGATATTCGTAATTAAAGAAGTTCCTTCGGACACGCTTTTAGTAACTGCGAGTTCTTTTTGTTAGGTGATTTTTGCTTTGTTTTTTGTTGCTTTGTGTCGATCTGACGAGTCAAGTATTTTTCGACTGATTTTTAAAGTTTGTTCTTGTGTTTTTCTGTTGCATCACTGTCCAAGGTCAGGAGAGGGTTGGGCGCTCGCACACATGTCGAATAACCACACATTCTGTATGTACCTATCCCAAGTCAGGAGCCTGTAATTCAGTGGTTATGGTTGGTTGCTGTATGCCATAGTTCTTTTTCGTTTATTTTTTTTACAGTTTGTTCTTGTGCTGTGCTGTTGCATCACTGTCTCAGGTTACGGTTGGGCACCCCAAAAATGTTGAACACCGCAAAATTCTGTATGCGCATATCCCAAGTCGGGAGCCTGTAATTCGGTGGTTGTCGTTTGTTGCTGTATATCATATTTGTTTTTTGTTAATTGTTTTGTACATAGATCAGGCAGTTTTTTCCGTTTTCCTTTTTTTACATTTGTCATATCGGGGTTTTGCTAATTGTTGAGAGCCGTACGTTGACCTATAGTTGCTAACTTTTACGTCATTTGGTCTTTCGTGGAAATTAAGTTGTCTCATCGACAATCATACCAAATCTTCTTATTTTTATATTGGATTGTCATGTATGGATTTTCGAATATTTCCTTCGGACAGCCTTGCTTCAGGATTTCTATAGTCTATAGACATAGTCTCGAGTTTTAGAAAGCAAATGCATAACGTTTGAGGGCAATAAAACCAAAATAACGTATGCAGAACAGTCAAACCTATCCAAGGTCAACTTTGTCTAGAGGACTTCCAACTTTAGTTTTATAATAAACACGTACGTATATGAAATGTTTAGAACAAAATGCATCATTTAAACCATGTAATGACTGACGTATTGGCAACTGGGTCGGATGATACCCTTGGGGAATAGTTATCCTCTAGTAACAGTACCGGTAAAGGTGTGATAAAAACGATTGGTGTGATTTCTGTACAGCACATGTTTCAGGATTAACCTTCATCGGGTACGCTCGATAAACCAACTATATCATGAGAACACAAGAAGCAGAGGCCTAAACAGAAAGCCTAAATCGGTTAAGACCAACTTTTTTTCTCTCAAAGAGTTGCATCTTATTTCATGGATAAAATGCATCACATATCATGCATGCCAGCACCGAAACATGCATTGACTGCCGTCGTGAACTGGTAGTTATTGTTTAATGTTATAATTGGATTTTTTATATTTTTTTTTCTTTTTAGGTATTCACATTGTATGAAGTGAAATCGTTATTTTTCCTTCCCAAGATACTGAAATGTTCAGATCAAATGTGCAGAAAACATATCCTATGTGATTCTTTGGTAGAAACTGTTTCATGGCTTGGCAACCTTTTATTTTGTTTAGCTTTTGTACGCTGTCACCATGCAGACATGGTCGCTAATAAAAGGAGACATGGGGAATATTTAAATGAAACAGCAACCCAACGATGCGATAGTTAATTTATAACAAAGAAAGAAATTTAGAGGTCAATAATATCGTCTCTAACAATATACAAGTGTCTACAGAATATATCAAACTCTAAATAGCCCCATTTCGAAAAGTTGTGAATGGATTTAACTGAGATTATCAATCGATTTGCTTTCAACACCAACCATCCTAAAACACAAAACATCAAGAAATAAAAAAAATTAACCACTGACGAGGATAATGTCTTTGGAAAAGTTTAAGAACATGTTCATTTATACGTGTTTTTCACCGTTCAATATTTCAGCATATCGTTTTCCATTCGTTTGATGTGTATGAGCTTTTGATTTTGCCATTTGGACTTTTGAATTTTCCTTGCAATTCGGTATTTTTTGTTATTTTACTTTTTACAGAAAATACAAATACGAGAACATGCGAATCAAGAACAAACTAACCGCTAATACTGCCTATAAGTTATTTTGAAGGTATAACGCAAAAATTGAAATTAAAATGGCAATACGCTGAAGCTAGTATAAAAGAGAGGCAAAATATACCAAAGAAACATTCAAACTCATTACTCGAAAACAAACTGACAATGCCATGGCAAAAATATAAAAACGATCAAGAGATAAACAACAGTATACAAAATACAACATAGAAAACTAAAGACTGAGCAACACGAACCCAACAAAAAACTGGGTGTGACCTCAGGTCTCCGGAAGAGTAAGCAGATCATGCTCCACATGTGTAAACTGTGCAAAACATTTAAAGACATGAACCATTACTGAAGGTACAGGGCCAAATAACCTTCGTGAAAATAAGAAATGCCAATACTAAGAGGATGACCATTATATTTTCTGGGAGGGATAATTTTGAAAATAAATAACATGGCCTGGTAAAAACAGAAAATATATAACTTGCACAATGAATTTTCTGCAACACAAAATGCAGGAGTCAAATGTGTACAAAAGTGAAAATAATGTTCATGCTTCAAATAAATAAGCATGCGTAGCAATAATGAAATAAATGACCCCCCCCCCCCCCCCCCCCTCTCCGAATATCAAATGGTCATACCCTTATACAACTGCATATCAGATACATTGGCTTATCGATGAGTGGTTTCTTTTTAACTGTTCTTAACACGAATCTTAACTAGTAAACTATGCAAAAGTTGTAAAATCAATGAACCATGATAAGGAGGTGCATAAGACCATATATCTCCATGGAAATGCACGGACATGTTAATACAACTGCATTAGAAGCTCATCTTAAGCTGACATAATAACTAATTTTAATATGTAAACCAGCTATGTAAGAGTTTCAAAGGCAATATACCATGACTGAGGGGGATAGGCCAAAGTATTTTTATGGAAATGAGATGTGCCAATGCTAATACAATTACATATCACTGAATATCACAGACCTACAACTAGTGGTTCCCCTTAAACTGACCTACATTTGTTATCCCAAACTTTAACATTTAAACTCGCCAAAAGTTCCAAAGTCATCAGATCATGACTGAGGGAGCACCAAATTATCTACATGTAAATGAGATGATCCAATGGTAATGCAACTTCATATCAAATATATCATAGATCTACCACTACTGGTTCCCTGTAAAACTGACCTAATAACAAACTAATATGTTTGCCACAGCCGCTTGAAACATCACACCCAAGTCTCGTTTTTTCGACTTCCTCAGGGCGAGACAAAAATGCATAAGCATTTTGGAAAAGTACTGGTCAGCAAAGAATTATAGAAACTTATTTTGTGGAGGGTAAAAAAGAATTTAAAGAATTTCGAATTTACTGTGATGCTTTTGATGAATGTCCTTTTTCACAAGAATGTATTACCAGAGGAGAGAGTGACTTTCTTGAGAGAGAAAACATTGCTGTGATTCGTCTATATTTCTGGCTAAATCTACTGATGCAGAACTCTCTTATTCTGTAAATCATTTATTCAATAATTCACTTTTCATTTATCTTAAAGGAGGTGGGTTTTGGGGTTTATTTTCTTGGGGAGGGGTGATAAAATCAGCACTCGTTTCACAAACCTGGAACTAAAAATGAAGAAGACAGTTGTGTGTTTTTTTAGTAAAATCTACTTTTATTATAATTTACTTCCTTCTGTCTTATATTTGACATTAAACGAGCCTTTTGGAAGGGTAGTATCCCATTTATTTTCCATTACTAACAAGGCGGCAAGTCGACCAATTTCATCGCATGACTTTGCTGCGTATCCATTCCCGCCAACAGCTATACCTAACTGTGAGTGAATGTGATCAATGTAGGGTCTACCTGATGGAGTTTTCACTATAACACAACAATCACCGACATAAGATTGCAGCTTTGGTCCTGAAAGTAAAACAAAACAACTGGTATACTATATATAACGGATGTGCAAAAATGGAACAAATAATAAAACTCATAACTGTTCAAAAACATAACTACTGCAGTTCTGAATTTTAATTATTTTAATGTCTATTAAAGTATAATTTACAGGTTTTTATTTACAATTATATTTTCTTAAAATCTAAAGCGCCTCGATGTTCTCGTGGTAGCGTGTTCCGGCCTCTAGTGCGGGAGGTAGTAGGTTCGAACCCCGGCCGGGTTAAACCAGACTTTGAAATTTGTATGTTCTGCTTCTCCGCTAAGCACTCGGCATCAAGGAGTTAGAGCAAAGACTGGTCGGTTCGGAGTTGTTACCATGTGAACTAGCACGTTAAAATCCTGGTCAGCGTGTCGGTCTAGTACAAAGCATGGTTAATATTCATATTACATTAAAATGTTCTCGTCCTGAATATCATTTAAACGCAGACCCAGTAAAGATGTCATCAGTAAATATAATTTCGTTGTATTGTATCATGATTAGATTTATGACCACCTAGTATGAACAATTTTTAGAATGGTCACATGAATTATATATAAAACCATAAAACTAAGGCGATATGGTTTGGTTGCTGGTCCGTTGTGATATCTAGATAATTATCTATGTTAGAATAGTTTGTTTTGTTTGGGTGCTGTCTCCATGCCATTCAGTGGCGCATCCAGGGTTAGAGGCAGGATGTGCGCAATTGTCCTATTAAAATAGTAGGAAAAATATCGATTTTTGTTGTTGATGATTTTACTAAAAAAAAAAATCTTCCGATCAAAAGGGGACGTTCGTCCTCTTTGTCCTCCTTTGCATCTGTCACTGTTTTTACCCCAAAATCTCCATTTTACCTTTAACAATATCTTTGATAATAGTAACTATATCTTCAATCATTTTTTCATCACCTCTACTGCAGTACCAATGTTTTACTTCTGTTGCTGTGCTCAATATTTTAGGGAAGTCATCACTGTCGTGACCTAATTTGATGTAGTACTTTCCTGTAAATAACACATTTTGAATTTAAAGTAAGATATGCTTATTTTTCGGCTTACAAAGTTCTTTTCTGGATTATTTTCATATGTTAACCTATAGTTTAGAACTTTAAAGCAAAATAAAGATTGTTAACCAGGACTTTAACTTAAAAGCCAAATCATTCTGTTCTGACAAAAGTGCAACATAATATCTATTAAACATACAAAATTTTTATAGCGTACATTTAATCAAATTGTATATTAAAATCTGATTTTAGATTTGATTTGTTCGGGAAGAATTCGTCTAGCCTTTGTGACATCTCCTTCTATTCATTTTAAGCAAGCATTTATCTTACTTGCGAAGGTCATGATGATATGCGACACGCCGTCGTATGATAGTACGCCTTCATGCCAAAGTCAAATGATGATAAAGTTTCGGCCAGGACAAAAGAATACAAAGAAATTTTTCTTCAACGAAATTTTCAAGATAAAGCTAAGATTTTTTTTCTTCTATTAAATACACCTTGGGCAAATTTTGAAAAATCTGTGTGTTTCTACATACAAAATTTTCACTATATTTTAATTGAAATACCATCAGGATATTTTACAGGTGGCAGCATATAGAATTTTACTGTGTTATCTGACCGTCGAATAAATTTTGTCATCCAATCTGCAGCGCCAGTACCACAATAAGAAATCGATGGCATATTTCTGAAATATAGTCATATAATTATATAGAAATGTTCCAACATTCCCCATACACATAAAGGCAAATTTAAAAACTTAGTTTACAACATAAAACACACACTGCAGTGCCTAAGATGACCCTCATACCTCATTTCCACGATTTGAAGTTTGTTATCTTGTATTCAGGCGCGTAGCTACGTTTACGTCAAAACGCCCGGGCGTACACATGAATTTTGGAAAAAAAATATTTTAATCTAAATAGATTAAAAGATCTGGCTAAAAGCACATGAGCCTTGTAGTTCTTTCTCCACTGACTTGTAATTGAAAATAACAGTCGGAAGAAATTTACTTTTTAATCAAATGGTATCATATTATTTATTTGTTCGTTTTCTGTCAAAATCTGAATCTACTGTGAATTATTCTCCCTTTCCTATAGTTTAAAGCAATTCATTATCTGCTGAGATACGATATGCAGTTTTGTCGAGCCTGCGAGACATTCCGTAATCGGCGTTGGCGTCGTCAATATTTATGTTCAGCCTGTGGTTAAATTTTTTTTTAAAACATCAATGAATTTGTAAAACCTTTATGAAATTTTACAGAATATAGGCAGAAATTTTTTTATGATCAAAAGAGTATCCTGAGCATAATTATGAAAATTTACTTTTAATTTTTCCGCATTTTACTGAAAAGAACATTGTTTTTATTAGTTAACAAGTAGATACTGTTTGTTACGCATCAATTACTTTGTCAAAACTTCATCGAATTTTATGTAAAAATGTTAACACCAACGATTTTTTTTTTTGCACCAGATGCGCATTTCGACAATTAATGTCTCATCAGTGATGCTCGAGGCCGAAATATTTGAAAATCCAAAACCAAATAAAAACATTGGAAGAACTGATCAAAATAAATTGTACCTAAAGTATAGCCAATTCCGGACAAAGAATCAGAGCTTTGCACGGGGGAGATATATTCCTTTATTTTTAAATGATTTCAAAACTTTTACAACAGTCAGCAAATTTCAGTCTAAATTTTTTTTTTCATTTTTCAGTATTTTACCCTTTTTTGGGGGGCAATTAGCAGACGGTCTTGAATTGAATATTTTCCACCTGCTACATTTGTAAATTTTCATAGATTGTTATGAAACTTGGACAGAAGCTTATCTTCCAAGATCAAGAAAAACATTTAAAGAAAAGTTTGATTACTTTTAAATCCTGTATTTGACTAATAAATGGATTCACTTTTTATAGTTTAACCGACAGCAGCAATCCCAGGCGAAACACAGGATTCCACGGAACCCTTTGAGTATGTTTATATCACACATGACCATCTATGAAGATTTATTATTGCATGTACTTGTCCATTTACAAAATTTGCGCATAAAAGGGGAGGAAACTAGATTAAGTCATAATAATCAGAAGAACGACACCATTGAAAATGTAGACTTGCTTTTTTTTATATTTCGAAAGGTTTGGATCTTTGGTCGATTGATTTTTTTTACCCCACATCTCCCTTTAAACATATTTCATAGTAACAACTACTGGCCATTAGATTCCAAATCAACACACTGAATAAATTATACATGAAAAAATCAAGAAATTAGACTTTAAAGTATGTTGCTATTGATGAGTTTTAATGACAGAAATAGTATCTCTCTCAATAAATCGTTAGCTTCCGTCGGACCCCTGCTGGGAGGTCCATTGTCCTGTACCCGCTGGGGACCCTCAAACCCCTCGCCGAGGTTCGGGCGTACACTTAAAAATGGCTTAGCTACGCCACTGAATAGTATTTATTACACATGACTTTGTATCGAAATCAATGTTAAATACATTTGATCAGTAATTTATAATTTGATTGAATGATTATTTTTTCTTGACGAAAAGACAATTAGAAAAAGTACGAAATAATTGTGAATTCAGTCTCTCGGTAGTTTTGTGTCCTGTTAAATGATAAAAGGAATAGACCATTCATCTTTGGGAAAATGTTATTTTAATTAATTGTGTACTTTGAATTTCATGGGGACAAAAAAAAATTCCGGAAGGGAAGTGAAAATATTTAGTTTTTATCGAGAATAAATAAAAAAATCAAAGTAAACTTTAAAAAAAATTAAGTTATTCAAAAGTATTTTGCCATTTCAAAGTTGAAAATATTGTTATCCCCGAGGAAAAAAACGAAGTGCCACTAATGGGAATAGGATCCATCCATCCATCGTCTTGGAAACTGAAAAACTTATGAACATTTGTTTTACTATTAGGTATGGCCATATTTATATCGTGACCTATGATGCAAAATATCTATATTATATTCCTGTTGTTGTATTCGAAATAAAAAGTGTCTTTACTAATATCATAGATTTCTCTAGAACACAACATACGGAATTAGTTTTGTTTTCTGTTTGAGGGAAAACCGATCTTCCTTCGCTCATTTCTAATACATTAAAGATTTTGTTGTAACCTTCTGCACATTATATGTGATGACCATTACTGGCTGTACGACAGTGAAATTGGTGTTTAGTAAATTACCCATCTGATCTTGCTCATTTGCAGGGTTGTTTCGGCAATCCCGTAATTTCATACAGCAAACAAATACTTATTTCTAGTATCTGAGCACAAGCCAAATAATGCTGGAGTACTAGTTAAGAATTTGAATATATACAAAGGAATTTAATCGACTCAGAATTGAAAATAAGTCCCCCTTTTGGAGGGGAATTGGGAGTGGCATGGGCTCCATATGAGTAGACTTTGAAGATAAATATACATATAAAAATAGTTTGCACTTTGAAAATTGAAAATTAATATTTAGGAATTACAAATAAAAAACGTGTACGGTTTAAAAAGGTGAGAGAAAAAATGGATTCCCGTTCTGTTATATGTAAACTGGAATGTTTTGTTTTTACTTTAATGTCGGTTATTTTGTGTTCATCGTATACTTGTACCATATAATAACATTGATTTTGTCAATCTTTTATTTTTAGTTAATTTCACAATAATCTTTTAATGAATTTAAAAACTCATTCTATAACTGCCGTTTTAATATAACCATACCTAATTTTTTTGTAATCGTCTAGACTAATTTCGATTCGAGCTACAGTAATTGGACGCAAAGATACATCAATATTGACATATTTCGGCAGGAGTTTCCTGAATGAAGTAAAAGCACCCGTTGCAAGTAATACTTTCTTTGCATATATCTTTTGACCGCTTTCTGTCGAAACACACATTAAATATTCCCCGCCAATAACACATCTCTCTACTTCATTTGCCACCGCTTCAATCACGTGACAACCTTGTCTCTTTGCAATTGTAATTTGCGCTTCTATTAAACGCCTTGGACTTATATATCCAGAATTATTCTTTTCGTAAATAGCTTCATCAGATTCGGAGAAATTCAAGTATGGGAAATGGTTTTTCAGTTCTTTGCTTGGCCACAATTTGGTATTTATTCCATGGCTCTTGGCACATTCCTTGTTTGTCCTCATGAATTCTTTACCAACAGAACCACATATAATGTATCCAGTTTCATCATAAAAAGGTATGCCTACAAAAAGGTAATTTGATATACAACACAGGTACATATCTATATTCTTTGTAATTGGATTCTATTAAATGTGCGTCTGGGGGTTCCAGCATAATTACATGATTTTAAAAAAAAATCAGAAGAAAAGAAAATGAATTGATTGTAAATGTTAACTCAAAGGCAGTACAAAATGGCTATGTAGAGTCGATGAACATGAAATGTTATAAATGCATATTAAAAAGAGGTGCGATAGGACATAAAAGCTATTATATATAATCGTCAAAATTCACGCTTATTCATATGATAAATTGATTGTTGATTGTTTAAAGCTAATGGTAAATATGTCATGCATAATCAGGACGAGAACACATTAAAAACAAATTCAATAGTTTCAACCGGAATGAAGGGCGTCAGATTTGGACCGCCGATTAAAAAAGAATATATGTTCGATATGGGCAGACATTTTGGCTTGTAATTCGCCACGTATTAGCTTCTCATTTTAGTGATTTGCAAAGAGTTCTTTTATAAGGAGAGGGGAGGCAGTCTCCATTAGAGAGACATCAGATTTGACGCCCCTATTCCAACCGAACATAGTTGCGTCTTTATGCATCCCGCACAGGCAAACGACGCCATCTTCACAGGTTCTTGCAATCTAACTAAAAATTAAATATAGAACTCGGATTTCGTTATACGTATGTAGTATAACGAAATCCGAGTTCTATATTTTAATTAGATTGAGGTTCTTGCTGTTCGACAGGAGTCTGGGTGATTATATTTCTATACCCCAGGCAACCTTTGGAGTCACTATGAAGAAACTTAGTAAAGAAGAATTCGAAATATTTTCCATACCGGATGAACTTTCTATTTCCCGATACCTGGCAATAGATTCTTTGGCAAGACTCGACCAAACAAAATCACTGTCTGAAGACCTTGTAATTCGCCCCTCATCGTAATGGGCACCAAATATATCTCTTTCACCTGATGCACTTGGGTCCTTGAATAAGAAAAAAGACAATCATTAGAAGGATTACAATATTTGAAAATTGTTGTAATTAAAAAGCGAATTTATTATGTCTAGATTGAGGGGTCCGAAGTCCGCTTTTTTTTTTTTTTTTCTTTTTTTTTTGTAAGAATGAAAGCTCTTTTGCCTTTTGAGCTGACATTAAATATCATAGATATGTTCATTTTCTGTAAATTTACTGTTTATTAAATGTTGAAATATTCAAACATTATTGTTTTTCTACTTCAGGTATATATGGACTGTCTAAAAAGTATTTTGCACATATTTTGGAATTTTCGGTTTTATTTGCTCTTAAGCTTTATATTTGATTTGGTTTTCCAACTGGTTTGATTCGAGTGCCACTTATGAGTCTTGTGTATACGAAACGCGAGTCTGGTGTACCAAATTATAAACCTGGTATCTTCACGGTATATTTGATTAGTTTATATCTGTTATGTTAATCTTGCAGGATAATTAAATAATAATTTTGGCCCTTATAAATTGACAGTAGGCATTTAGGCGCAATTGACTAAGCTCGGCGACTGGCACGTGACGTTGTATATTTCAACAATCAAAGTTCATTTGTAGATTGGAAAGTAAAACAATAGACTAGGTTGCAGTCAAAAAATCATTTATACGTTAGAACCTATTTGCCTTTTGACAAAACATATGTGTTTTTAATAATGTGAATGTTTACTAAATATCAAGTAAAATAATAACGCAATTATATAATTCAAGCCTTGAGACGACCCCTGAACGCGTTGTGTGTGTGTAGTATTTAATACAGCGTGCTGTTGTGCATTGTGACAAACCTGGGAATAGTTTATTGATATATAATGTCCCAGAATTAATTGATTATTTCTGAACGTTTATCAATTGATATTATGTATTTCAATCATAGCATGGAAAATTGTCGGAAAGCATGAAGAAAATTAAGAAAACGATATTTCTTTTAAAATATTTATCTTAGGTCGAAAACACAGTGGTCGGAAAGCAGAAATATAATCAAACAAAAGGACTTTTCTGTCAAAAATATCGAATTTCATTTATAGATACTACCAGACTAAGAGAATACTCATTATTAAGTTTAAACTGAGACTGAATTTATTCTTAATAGAATATAATTAAAATTGTCATATATACATGTACGTGCATCATGTCTCACAGGTTTGAACAGTCATTATATTTATGAAACTTATATGCAACGTATGAGCACCAATGAGCAGGGATGCGTACCCAATGTTAGCTAAATATCTAAATTTTAAACGTTCGTGAATGAAAAAATACTTGCATGGTTTCAATTCACAAGGACTTTTAAATTAAATCATTGCATGTCACAAAAAACGTAATTATTATTTTACAATCATAATGTAAATTATTTTATACTGTTTTAGAATGGATTCATAAGTCTCTGCTTATATTTTGTATAGCAATATATTCATATAGTGGAATATTAGACTTTAAAAAGAGATTAATTTGATAAATAAAATGCCCATCCGTAAATACTTGACGTTTGTGTTTATTGATATTATAAAATAATATTCTAAATTTTTCGGAAAAAAATTACTAACAGGTATGTATGTACTATGAATTTCAATTCTTTTTTTGTTTGTTTGTTTTAAAGTTCAACCTTATAGCATCTAAATATTTGTACTATGGTACAAATGCGTATTCTTATCCAGAGTATCAATGCGTATGCTTTCTATTTACTATTTCTTGCGCAAAAATACCACGTGCATGCATAAATATTTATTTCACTCGTAAATGCGAATATTCGCTTTTCTTATCTACACCCAGTTCACGGCAGTAATATAAGAGCTTGCCATGTGACTTTCAAGCAAGTTTATCATTACTTACGGTATTCTGACCTCTAGCTGTTTCTCTTTTTTTTAGTCACTGTATACTATTATAAACTTAGACATTTTCGAAATGCTAAGGATTTTCTACCTAAGGAATAGATTACTTAACTTCGTACTTTATTTGACCTTTTTAACTTTTTTTATTCGAGCGTCACTGTTGATTCTTTGTAGACTTAACTCGCGTCTGGCGTACAACATTTTCATCCTGGTATCGTTTTATATCTACATATCTTTTTATATAAATTGGTTCTTTTGAGAGTATGTTCAGGTATTCATAAAACTTCTGAAAATTAGATATTCATCAAAACCAAGTTTTCCTGTAGAATATATGGATTGATGTAAGTAAAATCAGGAAGTCCTTAAAATTTGAGATGTTTTATGAGACCAAAATAAGTCTCTATTTAAGAGGTCACAATGAAGCTGGGGGTGTTACTCTCAAGAAAAATATACGAAACATTATTATATAAATTGCATGACACAGGGTTTCACTTCACATGGAAATTGGACTTTAAATTTATCTATACAACATCTACCATGAGTACAAACAGCTTCAATAACAAGTTGAGAATAATTGAAGGCATCCATGCAGGAAACAAAAGATGAAGATATGATAGATAAAATAAATGCATCCAGATTATTAAGCAAACTGAGTGCTTAAATTTATATTGCGATTGGTTTGTGCAATTTGAATTAGACATCCGGTTTGTAGAAACTGGGATTTGCAAAAGGGTTATGAAAAAATGATGTACATTCCCAAGTAATAAATAAAATAATCGAGCTTTAAAATATATATTCAAATAGAAGCTGTATATAGTGTCTAAAAATAGCAACAATCAACATTCAATCTATCTAGGCGTGGATCAGTTTGTAAATAAACTGATGCAGTTACTACATTAAATCATATAAGTGCCTAAGAATGTAACTTTAACACACTATTGAGTGTTATAAAATAGAAGCTGTATATATACACTTTTCTATTCACATTTTCTATTCACAACTATCCAACATTGCTTTCAACTGACTTGTGCAAGAATCTACACACAATTGCATATTTTCAATAAAGGTGTTTTAACATTATCATTATCTTATCTATTGAAAGTCAAGTATTTCAATTCAAAAGCAAACAAAAATTCAGCAACAATTTTTTGGTGACCAGTCAGCGGTCTTGGGTTCACGTGTTACTTTTCTTTTTTTAAAGAAAGCAACTTTAAGGTAGTAAATGCATTTGATGTGAATCGATTTGTTACCTCTGCTTCTTTAACTCCAATGAGGCATACAGTCCCAATATTTGATCCATATCTGGCAGTTGCTGACCCAATACATCCAGCACCAACAACACAAAGGTCAAATACCATTACAACAACGACAGCCTAGATATTAACCTTATACTTTGTCATATAAACAATAATCACGTGATGTTGTTGCATAAATTATCAAAGTCATGTACCTACGATGTATCATATAATTATTAATACTGTTTTAACGCGCTGAAAGGACAGAGACTAGGCCTTTCAAGAAATAAAGTGATATGTTATTTACTTTCACAAAATGAATAGCATTGCTTACGATATCTGTTGTTATTTTCGCAAAAAAAAACCAGACAATTTGGTTGAAATACAGATCCTGTTGCTTCCTTTACATAATCAACAGGATCTGTATTTCAACCAAAATGTCTTTTTTTTTTTGCGAAAATAACAACAGATATCGTAATCAGTCTATTTATAATTCGTTTATTTTAATCACGGATACGAGACGAGATTCTTTTTAAAATATGTATATATACTGAATACAATACAGTATATTCAGTATATTCAGTATATATACTTATTTTTTGAAAAAAAAACTCGTCTAGTACCTGTGATTTAAATAAACCAATATACGTCTATTCTTTCTAGTTTAAACACATTTTATTTACTAAAACTAAAATAAGTAAAATGAGCCTCCTCATGGGTTTTTGATTATGTGATTACTTGGCCGTTTTATAGTGATTATTTGATTACCAGACCAAATATTTCATGATTATTTGATAATATAGGACTGTATTTTTGATTATTTAATTATCTTGTTTAAAAAAATAATTAATGATTATGTGATTATATTGGTAAAAAAATTGTGATTATGTGATTACTTGGACACCCCCATGAGGGGCCTCTAAAATTAAAATGGATTGGACACAAGTGAATAATACTTATGAAGTCCGCTCCGAATTACAGTACATAAAAATACAATGTTTACATGATCATGCAATATTTTACAATTATAACCTTTGAATGAGGTCGATACGAGGATGTGTCGACTTAAAAAAGTATATGATCTGAGGACAAAGTATGAGGTCGATGCCAAAAGTGGTATATCGACTGAGGACGAAGTAGTTTCAGACGAGTATACTGATAATATCGGAAATGTAGTTTCAGACGACGAGTATACTGATAATACTTATTGGGTCCATGCTGTTGTGGAAAAAAAGAGACGAAAGATACAAATGGGATATTTAAACTCATATGTCGAAAAACAAACTGACAATGCCATGACAAAAAAGAAAAACAACAATGGGTGATCTCAATTAAGTGTTCATAAAGAATTGAAAATGTAAGAAACCCCTAAGCTGCATGCCAAAAAATTGCCATCCCTTAAATTTTGCAAACATCCCCATGGTGCCAATTGCATGGCTGGTTTATTACATCCTTGAATACATGACCTTATTTTAAGCGACACGGATCATACCCTTATTTCTTTAATTCGAAATATTAACTACACATGAGGACCATAGGTAGTCTACCTGAATTTTTGCGCTAAGATTTCTTGGCATGCAACAAGCAATATAAGTTCCTGGCTTGATTAAATGTGAAACAATTCTAAAGGGACACCAACGACCTGATTTATGCTAAAAACAATAAACTAAAGCAAAAACAAAATCATGCCAAACAGCAAACTTCGAGAATTGATCTGAGACTTATATATCAGGAGGACGACTTTTGTTCTTAATTAGTTCTTTCGACCCCGTAAGCTCTTCTATCTACGAAGGCGCGAATTAATATCTTACCTAATATTTCTCACTATATTAGAGCTCTTCTAGTTATATGGAATCATCTCTTCTGGCTCTAAAACTCATCTTGCTCAGTAATCTTTCTTTACTTTCTAAAGGTTAACGCTCACTTTGTTCAATGTCTCGTCTTCTCTCAAGCATACATAAGCTAGGAGAAAATAATTCTACCCAGTTTCAGAGTATTGGTAAACATAGAACAGTCATTTCAATGTTCGAAACAATGTCCAGATGTTCATCTTTATTCGCTAGTGCTAGGGATCTCATGATAAAAAACAGATCCAGACTGCGATAAAAGACGATTTTAGTTTGAATGGCGTCCATTCGGCTTCGGCTTCGAATTTAAATACTAAGCTGGGAATGTCACATTATCTACACTGTCTGAGACCTGAATAACATATTATGTATGTGTGGCTGCGTGTGTAATCGGACTACACTAAATATTTAATGGTCTGTAGGAGTTTAAATAAATATGTTGGTATATGTTCTTCTTTTTTCTGCTTGCTTTAGGCATTGATGTGATAAACTTATCATAAAATTGAGAATGGAAATGGGGAATGTGTCAAAGAGACAACAACCCGACCATAGAACAGACAACAGCAGAAGGTCACCAACCATGTATGAATTTGTAAGCATTACCGACCAAGACTACCAACATTTGTTTATATATTCCTTAAGAGGATTCGATCATACCATTATTTGGCAATACGATACTCATTGTTGCCTAGTAACAAGGAATGTTTTAACTAAGATGTAACCAATACTAAGAAAGATACACAATGGTATATAAGGACCATTTATACGCTAATAATACTTTAACCACCTTACAATCACCAAATGACATGCAAATAAGCATTTTCATTGCAAGTTCCTTCAATGGAAGTTTATGATATAACCAAAGATATAAAAAAAACTCTTAAAATCGAAATGTCCGGCAGAATTTCGTCACATTACCCACGTCTCTAGTATGGGTTGAGCAGATCTTTCTGACCATTCTTGTAACAAGAATAACCTTCTAAAATTCTTGGTAGTTTAATTCTCTACTCAACCAAATCAGCGATAAACATCAACCAAAAGTACCGGTATCAAATATATTTAGCCTTAGAAGTTGCTCACTCTTAACAAACACGGAGACAGCAGACACTCTGCTACGAAGGGAACTTTAAGGTGCACAAAGAGTTACATTTGATACACGCCAGTCTAGGAATTAATATCTGACCGAAAAACATGTTCATGTTTTTATAAATATTTCAAGAATATCTATTGTATGGTATATGTGTTTTATTTGTATTTTTGTCATCTCTTTCTGAAAGTAAAAAACATGAACATTTATACAAATTAAGCTAAATTCTATAATACTTTACTACATGACCTATGCGGTATCAAATTTTAAATGCTATGGTATATTTATATCTCTAATAGATTACACTAGCTTGTCTACTCTTTCACATAACTTTTATCCGTTCTGGCTTTTGCCTAGGACAGGCCTTAATGAGACTGAATTTAGTACATTGTTTGAAAAATCATCAGGTTTAGTTTTCAAATCTACCATCGCCTCCTTGAATCATCCTTGGCTTTCAAATATTCGACGTCTTCATAATGTCAGTTTCAGAGAATTTATAGAGAAAAAAAAGCAGGATAAATTCTTTCAATTTGTCTTTTAGTTTGGAATGGACGAAACACAAGAGAATATTAAAAAAGTATAACAAAATACCAAACTCCAAGGCAAATTTAAAAAGGTGCAGTACATAAAAACAAAATCGAACGCTATCAATAAAAAGAAGTAAAATAACAAAAATACCAAACTCCAAGGAAAATTCAAGACGGAAAGTCCCTTATCAGTAGCAAAATCAAAAGCTCAAACACATCAAACGAATGGAAAACAACTGACATATTCCTTATGTAGAAAATGGTGGATTAAAGCTGGTTTTACAGCTAGCTAACCTCTCACTTGTATGACAGTTTCATACAATTCCTTTATATTGACAACAATGTGTGAACAAAACAAACAGATATAATAGGTAAAAATGTCAAAAATTGGAGTACAGCAGTCAACATTGAGCTATAATCTTAATCACTATAAAAAAGAAACAACTATGTCAACAAAGAAAAACAAAATGGCATATAGACAAAGCACATAAGCAAAAATGAACGACAAGAATACAAAATATTACCATAGCTCAATAATACAATGGCGGGATGTATAAATACCGAGCCACGCCAAAAGGATATTACCAAAAAATGGACTTAACAGTTAATGTTAATAATATACAAAGACAAATAAAAGAACACTATAACACGTAATTAAGATGATAAATTACGTCAGTATCTAAAATCTATACCTCAAGACCATCATGTATTATTTGTGAAATTGATACGGAATATATATCAACAAGGTCTTGGTATCTTCCGATGAACGTTTTTTAGAAAAAGGACGAGATGTTCTTTAACATAACCCTGATTCATCAACTTTCTGCTCAGACACTAGTGACGTTTCATCGTATCAAACAATAGAAACATAGCACAAGTAGTAAATTTAGCGAGTGATACCTGTAAAAAATGAAAACAACACGTTATAAATTTCATGTGTCCGAATCGCTTTTCTGAATTTACCACCATCAGGAACACTCAAAGCCGAATATATGCAAGCCAAATGTTCGCACAATCATTTAAATGTTCATCAACATATAAGCTCAGTGTTTGGCAAACCCCTACCATACCGTCCTATAGTGCCTAATTGGTCTGTTATAGCTTTCACGTTCTTGAAAACGTGCATTTTCAAATATAATCCTTTATCCGATTGTATTGAGTTGGGTGTGAAACTGTTAAAACAACACCAATAATCCATACACAAAACAAATCAAGGATAGAAGGACAAAAGGTCACAAATTATGCCAAAGCCAAATTGGACAGCTTTATTGTGGAAAATACAATTTAATCAGATACTAACCTCTATCGAACAGACAACCGTTTTGACGATTGGTTTTATATTTCAAATCAAATACACTCGAGTTTATCGGCAATACCAATTTCGGGAGAGAAAAAAGTACATATAATTATTTATTAACTAAAAGTTTTGATGCAGTTTGCGCATTCATGTATGGCACTTAAAATGAATCGGTCCATTTTGCATAATAATCTGAAGTAACACAAATATTTTTGTTATCACTCCTGGTCATTGGTAACTCACCAAGAATATTCATTGCAATACGTTATATTTGGACACTTGTCTTTGATATCTTCGTAGTTGTTCGTTTTTATTTTTTCGGAGCCTTTCGTTTTGAACATTTATTACAGTTGTTGAATTATTGCTACACATCACGCTGAAGTCTTGGCAAGTTATAACCATTTATATTTTTTGTT